TTATATCAAACGTTACATAGGTTAAACGAAAGTGTGATTTAAAGTCTTCTTAGGATTGTAGAGTCGGGCTGCATGTTCTGCATAAAAATAAAATAAAACCAAGTACGAACAATCCAAACCATAAGACAGAATTCGAAGTCCTAAAAAACGTTATAGGCAAAATAGTGAATTCAAGCAAAATAGTGTAATCAGCAAATGGACTGCTCCTCGTGTACAAAATACACGACAAACAGTGGTAACAGGTGCCCGGAAGAGTAAGCTTACCCTGCCTGGCGCCACACCCGCCATAGCTGCATCCAAACTATTAGGCGAAATGTCGGTAAAATAGCGTGATTGGCCAATGAACTATCGGTATGCAAAATGCAGGCGATGAACTGTGTTAACGATGTAGTAGACATTATCAGGGAGATAGTAATAGTATACGTGTCAATTAAATATATCTAGAATAATAGCCGAGAGAGACACGTTATATTTACCAGTCAAATCAATATGACGGCCATAAAGCTTTTTAAAGGTTTTAATAAGTTTAGTGCGCAAGTATCCTTGTAGTTGAAGCTTAGATGACAAATGCCTCGATCTACTTAAAAAATCAGAATAAAAGGAACAAGCTCTCGCGTAACGGATTAGCTGAGACACAAACACTCCATAAGCTGGTGATATTGGAATGTTACTACTAATAAATGGAAAGTTAGCAATCGGAAAGTCAAAGTCATCACGTTTATCGTACAATTTAATACTCAGTTTATGGCAATTGTCAAAATCGAGACGCAGATCCAAGTAGGAAGCGTAATTGTCACTGTCAGTGGTGTTTTTAATTTCGAGCTCATCAGGATATATGAATTCTACATAATCACTAAATTTAGGATTATTAAGTGATAAAACGTCATCGATATATCGATAAGTGAAATTAAAAAGTCTGACTGGTCGTTTATTAGTTTTTACGAGCGTCTGTATGTAATCGGCTTCGTACGAATAGAGAAACCGATCAGCAAGCAAAGGTGCACAGTTGGTGCCCATGGGAATGCCAACCACTTGCTGATATATTTCCCCTTCAAATTCAACAAAGATGTTATCAATTAAAAAATCCAACATCTGAATTATCTTGATGGCCGTGAATTTGTTTTTGGAATCACTGTGATTCTTAACGAAATATGTGGAATTGTAATTTACAACTAAATATTGATATCTCGCAGTACCTGATTTAGACGAAAAGACACTGTGAATAATGTCTTTCAACCGGGCTTTTAATTTACTATGGGGAATTTTAGTGTACAAAGTAGAAAAGTCAAACGTTTGAATAGATGAGACTGAAGCAAGGGATCTAGGTTGCAAACCATCAAGTAATTCTTTGGAATTTTTCAATATCCACATTTATATTCTATCCTTGGGGCTTTATGGGTTGGGGGGGTTGGAGGATGTCCGAATGGTTAGCACGTGCGCGCTGTATCATGAGGTCTGTGAGTCAACTGGCGTGGTTTCGATTCCCCGGTTGTACGTTTCAGTAATTTCCGTTAATTACATCTAGAGTTATGGCCCTTGTTTCACTTTGTTGAACCCTGTGAACGCTTTAAGGACAAAAGTTACCTGCCGATCTGTGTGAAATTGATATGCGTCATTTAAATTAGTAAAGAGAAGAATCCTATTCAATTTCAGCAATCTCCGTTTATTACGTCTAGAGTTATGGCCCTTGTTTCACTTGTTGAACCATGTGAACGCTCTAACGCCAAAAATTATCATCCGATCTTTGTGAAATTTGTATGCATCATTTAAATTAGTGAAATGAAGAATCCTATCCAATCTCAGCAATTTCCGATAATTACCTCTGGAGTTATGGCCTTTGTTTCACTTTGTTGAACCTTGTGAATACTCTAACGCCAAAAGTTATATGCTTCATTTAGATTAGTGACACCACGAAGCCTATTGAATTTCAGCAATTTACAATAATTACTTCTCGAGTTATGGCCCTTGTTTCACTTTGTTCAACCTTGTTAATGGTCGATTGATGGAATTTATCATCAGATATGTATGAAATTTATATGCATCATTTAAATTTGTGAAATGGAGGTCTATTGAATTTCAGCAATTTCCGTCAGTTATTTCTTGAGTTATCAAGGGGGTTGGATGGTCGAATGGTTAGCACCTGCGCGCTGTATCATAAGGTCTGTCATTGAGTCAACTGGCGTGGTTTCTATTCCCCGGTTGTACGTGACAAGGAGTAGGGTCGCCTGTCCAACCTCGTGGGTTTTCTCCGGATCCTCCGGTTTCCTCCTACTGCTAAAGACCACTACACGCAAGCGAATCGTTGAAAAAATGAACCATGTGTTAGCCCCGAAATTACCTAGTTTGTGTCGAGTGGACGTTAAACCCCATCTCTCTCTCTCTCTCTCTCTCTCTCTCTCTGACAGAGATTTTACCTTGTTTAGCACACCCATTGAATCTGGTTGGAACATGTGCTGCCAAGTGTTATGGCAGTGCTGTTTCATTCTTTTGATTGGCACAAGCTATCTACAACTTCTTTTCTGCATCCACACACTGTTAGAGCTGATGCAACTTCTGCCATGAGTAAGAGCTACTCAGAAATACATTCAGATTTGCAAGAGATAGGTGATGAAACGAATCAGTCGAAAACCACCAGAGGTGAAGCATCCAGAATAGCATCAAGCATGGAAGGTCTCGAAAAAGCTGTTCGTTGGGTTGTTTGGAACACAATTCTGGGGCGTTTCAATGCAACCAGCAAAACTTTACAAAAAGTGAACATTGACTAAGGAACATATGTAAGCCTCTATGAAAGTCTGCAATATTTCGCGAAGTCCATTCGCACAGAAGATGCATTTTCTTCTTATGAAGAGAAAACTAAGTTAATGATGAAAGGTTCGAGTTATCGTGCATACCATCAACGAGCACGCAAGAGAAAGCGCCTATCCGACGAGGAAAGATTCAGAGGTCGAACTGACACCGAGGGAAAAGTTTAGAACTTCTACTTTTCTTCCCAGTTTGGATTCACTGTTGATGGAATTGGTGCGGGGAATGGAAGTCTATTCGAAGCTGAAGCACCAGTTTGACTTTCTTTTCACCTTACACACCTCGTCTGATATTTAACTTCGTGAATCTGCTCGCAAATTCCAGGTGCATTATCCAACTTCCAAGAGCCATAGAAGAATCTTTTGAAGATGAACTGATGCAGTGTTTTGGCTACACCAAACAGTATTCTGCAGAATTAGTTTCACCTCCTGCATGCTTGAGACGCATCAAGGAGGGTGGAATTACTGACTCTTGTCCTAATGTGAACATTGCTTTGCGGATTCATTTGACATTGCCGGTAGCAAAGAAGGGATGTGAACGATCCGGTTGTTTGCTCAAACGTGTGAAGAACTAGCTTCGTTCAACTGTCGGACAAGAGAAGTTATGTGACTTATGGCTGTTGGGAATTGTGTCAAACTTGACCAGATGCATAGACTTTGAAGGGGGGTTGGATGGCTAGCACGCGCGCGCTGTATCATACGGCCTGTCATTGAGTCAACTGGCATGGTTTCGAATCCCCGGTTGTAAGTGACAAGGAGTAGGGTCGCCTGTCCAACCTCGTGGGTTTTCTCCGGGTCCCTCCCACTGCTAAAGCCCCCTAAGCGCAAGCGAATTATTGAAATAAAATTAAACCATATGTTAGTCCCGAAATGACCTAGTTTGTGTCGAGTGGACGTTAAACCCCATTTCTCTCTCTCTCTCTCTCAAATCTAGAAAAAAAAAGCTATGTAATTCCGTTTAATGTCACTTCACCTATCTAATGTAAACTAATGCAATACATGCAATGTATAATGTACATACATATGCCGCTGTTTTGATATTCTGTATTGATGGATGGATAAATGGATGCCTGCATAATAGGCCCCATGAAATATTTGGCCTAGGGCCCCACACAACCTTAATCCAGCCCTGAGAATGTCTGCTCTGTTAGATGCCAAATTTAAAATATTTAATTAAGAACTTTCAATTAGTTTTTTATTGTTTTGGTCTTTTCATACTGTTACCTGTTTTGTCGCAATTAATAATGACGTGTATAAATCCCAGAAAATCTCTTAGCACGTGCTTGGCGGTTGTTTGTGTTTTTTTTATTGTTTATATTTTAATTGCATATGCATATGGGGGCACCCTGATCTTTAAAGTACTTAGGGCCTCTGTGGGCCTTAATACGGCCACGGGTTACGGGTGTACCACATTCACGCAACCCTCTGACCGTACAACTTAGAAATGGTTCCTCTACTGATGTCTTCCGTCTTGCTCTGGCCACTGTTGTGGATCGTTCTATATAAGGACTCCTTTAAACAAATTTTTAAATCATTTGATTACAAAAAAGTTACTGGCCTATACCTTCCTTAATTTCCAGTTAAACTGGCCTGCACATAGCTTAAAATATAACAAACCAATTTCCACTGAAATAAAGGTGAAGCTTTATCACATAAATTCGTTAAATTTCTGTCGTTTTTAAAATGGCCACCAAACCTGAATTAGAAGACGCACATGATTAAACGTTGCCTCGGCAAGTATTTCAGTGGTCCACTCTTCACTTTTTATAACATAATCATTTACATGTATTTCCATGCAGACTGATATTGATATGTGTTGAGAATTTTGCACTTGAAGCTGGACAAGACACGACAAGACAATGTGGCAGCTGTTGTTGTTCTTCTTCTTAGTGCTTGATAGGAAGGTGATAGGGCAGACAAGTTGTCTTATTTTCATTTTTATTATCTTAGCGCACGTACAGGGGTCTTTCCTGTGGGAGGAAACTGGAATACCCGGAGTAAACCCATGAGGTTGAGAAGGCACCCCTATCTCCAAGCCACATACACTCACACCAGGGATCGAAACCACAACCGCAAGCCAGAGGTGACCGGCCAGCTAGAGGTCGAAACGCAGCACTCTAGACCACCCCTCACCCATATTGCAGCTACGCATCTTCTTGATTTTTAGGAATTTAGAAACAATAAAGGCAACAATTTAAAACTTTTTTATACCATTTTATTATAACTTAAATTTGGTAAATATAATTATGCATTAATTATATATATGCACATTTTTTTTAACTCTGAAATTGAAAGATGTGTCATTTTATATTAATCTTATAAAAGACGAAAATAGTTTTGTGGTTTCTACAGAATAATATTGTCTTCAATAGATATAAGAGATAACTATTATCGAAATAACTGAAATGTTCCCATATATCAGCATAATTAACTAACTATTCTAAACTAATCAAACAACTACCTCTTCTTGGTTTTATTTATAAAAAAATATATAACTGTAGGCAAAGTGTTAGTTTGTAGTTTTATATATTTGAAAGATTATTCTAATTTTGGAATGGTAACACAAACTATAAACAATCAACCAATGGCCCCTGTTATTAAATGCAGTAACCTTTTCAAATAACCTATTTATTATTAACCCTTCTGTGTATATTGTTTCCCACACAATAAACTCCACCCTCTAAAAGAAAACTAACACAACCAGCTAGAAGTATTAAAACAAAGCTAACACAACCAGCTGGAAGTATTAAAACAAATTCTTAAATTTTTAAAATATGTCAGAAAATTATAAATAAAAATACATGCCTACTCTCAAATATATAGCCATAAAAAATATTTATAAAATAAAACAAAATATAAAACCATTCACATCAATAAAGGTTCATAATTTTTATCTACAAAAATAATTGTATGAAATGAATATACAAATATGTAGGAAGAATATCAATAAGGCCTTAATACTATGTTGGTTTTTATTTAATAATAATTGGTTTTTAGTGCAGTACTTCAATATTTCTCAAACTGTGTCAGATATCTTTTATGGTTAAGTCCAAATCATACCGCAAAATCAATTTTACAGAGGACAAAAAAACCTGAATAATTACAAAATATTTTACAACATAAATCCCACAAATTATATTGAAGCTTCAATATATTATTTTATATGACCATTATTACAAGAATGTAAAAGATTTGTTTCAATTCCAGAAAATATAAATGTACACTAGACATCCGTACTGAACATGTATATCAATACCATGGTGTTGAAGGGACATAATTTATAGCCAAAACAATTATTTTCATGATAGATTAAAGTTTCAAACAATGGAAAAACATTTTCGGCATCACACTTGAGTGTAATGTTTTGTTTGCTTTCTAGATGCACACTATTCAAGATAGGGTGTCCTATCATACCTATGTATTATACTGTATATGCTGCATGGAAAATGAAATTGTTACTAATTATTTCTGAAATTTTGGCTAAACTACATGTATTTATAAACATATAAAAGTGTCAATGGAGAAGAAATTTATTCTCTTAGTCAAGATTAGAATTTAGGATATTTGCAAACGTTTTATGTTCAATTTCGGGCTTAAATAAACTCATTTAACTTTATTGTTACAATCCTAATTTTGAGCATTTATCAGGTGGCAGCAGTAGAACAGTACATCATACTGGTTCATCAGTAATAAAGTTTGCCTTTATCTGCATTGGTACTAAAAGATGGCCAACCAGAGTTCCGTTTTATATTCATTATTCCAGGAGGTGGTAATCTACAGGAAAAAAGAAATAGAAAATCAAACTTTGTTTTCTTATATTTAACTTGTAAAACAGTGTCATAGTCTGCTGTATAGACCAATTTTCTGGTTTTATTCCGCCATGAAGAAGAATGCAGATACTGAATGGGTAATGCTTGGCACTGTTTCTACACATACATGTAAATGGAGGTTGCCAGACAAATGATACTCATACCAACCTTGTCCACTAAGTCTCTATTCCTGTGCCACCATTAATATTACACACACAATTTGAACGCATAATTTTGCATGATTTCCGAAATACTTGACTGTTAAGACCTCAACTTAGCCCAGTCTTACTGCATACTTTTTGTGAAAAATCATCTTTAATAGCTACAAACTTACTTCAAGGTATAACACTAGCCATGTTGACATGTGTAAGACCAGCATTAGTCACATTAGTTACATTACAGAACTTTGTTTAAGTTGAATTTCATGCTCAATTCAATTCTTATCTTACAAAATATAGAAGGGTCAAATTCGTGGTGGTGAAATCAAAGTAATAATTAAAAGTAGCAAATGGACTGCTGTTTACTGATGCAAACAATAAAATGTTATAAACAAACTATACAACTCTACAAAATAGTTTCAAAAATATTTAATTCAAAATTATTTTAAATGTACAATTCATTATTAATAAAAACAAAGGTGATACAACAAATAAACAAATACATTACATTTTGTTGTCAGTTAATTTTGATCATACATATTTTGTAGTATATGGTGTAACATAAAATCTTACTTGCATCAGTGTACAGACAGTTTACTTATTTCTTCAGCATACTTAAAGGAATATTTCAGTAATTAATAGGTAACATCAAGCTAGATAAAGACGAGTGTACCATCGTCGAAACGTCGCTAATATATAAACCAGTAATTGTTATCCATATAAATGTGTTGTAATGTATGCTTTTAACTCAAGTGGTTAAATATATTACTTCTTTGCTTTGAACACAAATGTGTTGGAAGCAAATTTAATTGATAATCTTTCATTGGTTTGATATGTAAGGGAATGATTCAAAACAGATGTTTAGGTTTAAAAACCTTGAAATTGTTGATCAGGGTTTATGGTTTCATACAATTGCAGTAATTATGCTTCTCAATGTAATTTAACATATATTTTAATTTAGAAAGACAATTTACGAAATAAAATTAAATGACAAATGACTAAAACAATGAACAATAAAACAAATTATTGACTGCAATTAAACATCACACAAAAACAAGATGACTAGTCATCACCATCCCGAACCCTTACACTTGTTTGGAAGGCATAAGGAACCAGCAGCTGCCAGGCAAGATACGCCCACATTTTGCAAGAGATGGATAGAGAACAAGCTAAAAACAAAAGTGATTTTTTGTACAATCAGGGACCATAACCCAGAAAGTTATGGTCTGAAATGTGCAAATATCAAAAGGGACTGAGATCTTTGGGATATAAAGATATGCTTTAAGTTTCATCAAAATCGGATAAAAATTGTGACCTCTTTTTCTAGAGGGTCTACAACCTTCATAATACATACCTTTACACAATTTGCGTACAAAGAGTGGTCATTTTGTCCGTCAGTTTCATTTAGATTTTCCCAAAATTCGAATTCAACCTTCATTATGGTGGAATGGTGATATATTTAAATGGTTTTTAAAATCGGAAAAAAAAATTGTGACATCTAGAGAATCCACAAGCTCAAAATGTGATTTTTCAAACAGTCAGGGGCCATAATCCAGGAAGTTACATTCAGAAATGCGTGATTATCAAATGGAACCAAGATCTTAGTGTGTAACGGTGATATATATTCACACGTTTTTTTTTAATTGGATAAAAATTGTGACCTCTACAGGGACCACAAGCTAAAAACACGATTTTTCGTACAATCAAAGGCCATAATTCAGGAAGTTACCATCCTATATCTCGAATATCGAAAGGAACCAAGATCTTTGGATTATAAACATTCCTTTTCAAGTATCATCAAAATCGGATCAAAATTGTGACCTCTAGAGTGTCCACAAGCTAAAATGTGATTTTTTCTTACAATCAGGGGCCAGAATCATTGAAGTTATGGTCCAATACATGTCAATATCGAAAGGAACCGAGATCTTTAGGAGATAGACCTATATTTCAAGTTTTTCGTCAAAATCGGATAAAAATTGAGACCTGTAGTGTCCACAAACAAATTGTGAACGGACATTGGGACGGACGGACAGGGGCGACGTCATAATACATCCACATGAAAATATGGGCGTATAAAAACAACTTCTTGAAGTATCAATGGGACTAATCAGAAGATTCATACTCTGATCACAGTAGCTCAGCAAGGCAGGGTCGCTACTCCCTGTAAGGTTTGCACAACAACCTTTGCCTACCTCAATCAGCTGCTGTATGTTAAACATTAAGCTTATACATCAGAAATTAAAATATTATAATAGTTTGATATTTGTGCAAAGTTTCAAAAAAAATTCTTGAACAGGGATAAAGATATATGCTCCGGAAATGAAATCGGGATGAATAGGGACGGTCACCAGAAAATAAAATAATAGGTTGATGAATGAAAAAGTGTTATAACGGTATCTTGAACAGTTTCTGAGATAAGTTCTAGAATAATAATTATATACCAAATATTAATTCAAATGTAGTAAAAATTCAAAAATCATTCAACAGAGAATTTTGTTTAATGGAAACACAAAAATTATTAAATCCGACAAATTTCTAATTAGCAAAAGGCACATCTACTGAAATAGGATGATGTGTGTGCAAAGTTTCAAAGAGATATTTTGAACGGTTTATGACAAATGCTCCGGAAACAAAATTGTACATAAAAATTAAGTCCAATTTGTTTCCATGGAAACTGAAAAAATGATTAAATCTGAGGATTGATAATAGGTTGATGTTTGTACAAAGTTTCATGAAGATATCTTGAATGGTTTAGGAGATATGCTCCAGAAACTAAATTGAGCCCCAAAAACTAAATCATATTTGTTTCCATGGAAACACCAAAATTATTAAATCCTAGAAATTCCAAATTAGCAAAAGGCATAACTACTATAATAGGTCAATGTTTGTACATAGTTTCATGAAGCTATCTTGAATGGTTTATGAGATATGCTCCGGAAACAAAATCAGGACGGACGGACGCCATTTCAATATCCCTCCCTAACTTCGTTCGGCGTGAGATAAAAAAGTATCAATATGGCACATAAGAATTTATCCATCAGTTTCGAGATATTAATTTCTTTTTGTTTTTAGACCCAGAGGATATTTTTTTAAATAATATTCATGCAGGTAACATCCTTGATTTCGATATGAAATTTTGATTTCGATAGTTCCATGCATAAATATATCTTTCATTCAAATAAGTGGATCACATCGATAATTTTCAAAACACAAATTTCGAAAATAAGCCTTTATATGGTTACATAGTTTTCAATTCATATACCAGTACTAGATAACTAGATGTAAATAATTAACAAAATTTGTACAAAAATAGCTTTGTAGAATATATTCAGCTTGATTTAATGGATATCTTATTGTATTACTAACACAATATGGCAGAACATTTATCAAGCAATAAATAGTATAAATCAGGAAAACAAATCCATATCAATACCGGGTAAAATAACACACAATTAACAATAAATGAAATAAAAAAGACCGCAGATTAGAAGTTTATGCATAAACTTCAATTTGAATTATTTTCTGAATTATTTCCATTCAGTTGTTTGGATTTACCACAAGTGACAAATCTAATTTTTTAAGTTGCTGGTAGAAAATCAAAAGGTCTTAAGTAGATTTTCCAAATTTTTTAAAAAATCTACATGTTGTAGCATTTGAACCAAAATCTTGAAATCGTAATCTCATATGTTCAATAAATAAATTCCTTACTGTGAAAATAAAACACATTTTGATTGGCTTAAAGCAAGAATTTCATATTTTCTAGAAAGTTAAAACATAGTTATTTCTATGTCTTTAGCTCAATAGGTTGTCAATTCACTATTATACGATCATTGGTATCATTCTCAAACTTAAAAATCATTCAACCCGGAAATAACACCACAATTACCTCCCTTGTCTTTCTATTCCCGCCCATGGAATAGCTATCTTCAAACGTTTGAATTTGAAGTTGAAAATGATATTTTTGCCAATTTCTCAACTGGCAATAGTGAATTATAAGATTAATGGGATTATTCTTTAACAAGGTAGGACTGTTTATAAATACCATCTATTTTAAGGCTTTATTTTAATACATTTTAAAAATATGAAATTATCGCTTTAAAGATATGACCTATAGTATAAAAATAAATATGGATTCAGAACACAACACATAAAAATGTTAAATTCAAAAATTTTGCCAAATAAGACATTTTGACTGTCTCCCCTTTGATTTATGCAAATGAATTTATTTTATTGATTAAGAAAATGAACCAAAATTTCTTTTAAGTGTAAAGCAAGTTCTATTTTTATAATGCTGATTTCAAATGAATAATAGTTGAAACAGATATAGTTTGTTTATATGAGATTAATTAGTGACAGGTTTAATATGGTAGTACCTGATATTCTGATTATTGGATGCAGTAACTATTGTTGTTTTAGGCTCCAGTTGTTGTTCAGACCTTTTACCATTTCCTCTCATAACCTCAATACATTTCCAGGAACCCATATAGTTAGCTGAAAATTATAAACACAATGTACATATACATGTATATGAATTATTTAACATAAAACCAAGGAAACATCTCAATTACCTTAAATTCTTCATTCACATTTAAATATTCATTCACATTTAAAAGAATATATTATGTAATATGGCAATTTAAAAGGCATTCTCAGATGTTGCAATGCATATATCCAAGCATTTATTTGTTTCCTATCCTATTTTCAAAGCGATGAGATGTTATTTTTCCAAAATGTAACACGTTTCTGCATTCATGTGCAAAAATCTTAACAAGCAGTTGCCATGCAAGATATGCCTACATTTTACAAGATATGGACAGAGAACAAGCTAAAGAAAAAAAAACCAACATGATATTTCGTACAATCAGGGGCCACAATCCAGAAAGTTACTGAAAGGAACCAAGATCTTTGGGATATAAACATTTAAAGTTTCATCACCATTGGACAAAAATTGTGACCTCTGGAGGGTCCACAACCTTTGTATTACATACTTTTGCACTATTTGCATACAAGGAGCGGACATTTTGTCGGGCAGATTTATTTTTGTTTTCTCAAAATTCGAACTCCATCTTCATTATGGTGTAATGGCGATACATTTAAATGGTTTTTAAATTCGGATAAAAATTGTGAAATCAAGAGGGTCCACAAGCTAAAAAGTTATGATCTAATATGCACGAATATCGAAAGGAGCCAAGATCTTTGGGATATAATCATATATTTCAAGTTTCATAAAAATCAGATAAAAATTTTGACCTCTAGAGTGTCCACAACCTTAGTATTACATACTTTTATAGTATTTGCATTCAAGGAGCGGACATTTTGTCGGGCAGTTTGGGTCCGATTTTTACAATGATATATTTATACGATTTTTAAAATTGAATACCAAATTGTGACTTCTAGAGTGTCCACACTCCACAAGCTAAAAACAGGATTTTCGTACAATCAGGGGTCATAATCCATGATACATCCCAATATCAAAAGGGACCCAAGATTTTTGTGAGATAAACCTATTTTTCAAGTATCATCAAAATCAGATAAAAATTATGACCTCTAGAGGGTCCACAAGCTAAAAACATAATTTCTTGTACAATCAGGAACCATAATCCATGAAGTTAGGGTCCAATAAGAGCAAATATCGAAATGAAACGAGATTTTGGGGATATAAACATATGTATTTTAAGTTTCATCAATACCAGATAACAAGAGCATTGGTAACGCCACAATATACGTCCACATTCCTGCTTTGATCGATATGGTATTTTTTATAATGAAGAGAATGAAATATGAAATGGCTGCAATGACAATTTACAGATTAAATATTAACAATGAAGTGGGTGTGACAATTGTGGTCAATCAGCAAAAAACAATAGGGATCATCATTAGGGTATAAGGAATTGGTATGCTAAGTTTCAAAAGGATCTGTTAAAAATTACAGCCTGTGGGCGAAACACAAGACACACACAAAAAATTGTGAGTGGCTCTGTCCCAGGGTGTCGGGCATGCACCAAAAATAATAGAGGTCATCTTTAGGGTATAAGTTTTCAAGACGGTCGATCAAGAATTGCGGCATCCAGGCGACACACAAAAAGAAAATGGGGATTGCCCTTAGGATAAGAAATAAGTATGAAAAATTTTCAAGACGATCGATTAAGAATTGTGGCCTGTAGGCGACACACAGAAAGAAAATGGGCATTCACCACAAACAAAAGGGAGGTTCCTTAGGGTATAAAGAATAAGTATGCAAATTTTCAAAATGATACGTTAAGAAATGTGGCCTGTAGATGACAAACAAATACAAGAAATAGGCGTGGCTCTGCCCCTGGGGGTCAGGCATGCACCAAAAACAATAGGGGTCATCCTTAGGGTAGCAGGAATAAGCATGTAAAGTTTCTAGATGATCACTTAAGAATTGCGGCCAGTAGGTGACACACAGACACATACCCACACACACCATCACACACAGACAGGGGCGACGGCAATATACATCCACATTATGAATGTGGACGTATAAAAATTCTAGAAGGTCCACAACCTTGGTATTACATACTTTTACACTATTAGCGTACAAGGAGCGTCCATTTTGTCTGAAAGTTTCAGTCTGATTTTAAAATCAGATAAAAATTGTGAGCTCAAGAGACTCAACAAGCTAGCCAGCGACTGCCAGGCAAGATACGCCCACATTTTGCAAGAGATGGATAGAGAACAAGATAAACAAAAAGCGATTTTACGTACAATCAGGGCCCATAATTCAGGAAATGACGATCTGATATGCGCGAACATCGGCAGGAACCCAGATCTTTGGGTTATAAAGATATATTTCAAGATTCATTAAAATCAAATGAAAATTATGACTTCTAGAGGGTCCATAACCTTGATATACAATATATTTACACTATTTGCCTAAAAGGGGCGGCCATTTTGTCCGGTAGTTTTGGTCCCATTTTCACGAAATTCAAACTCATCCGTCATTACGGTGTAACGGTGATATATTCAAAGTTTTTTTCAATCGGATAAAAATTGTGACCTCTGGAGGGACCACAAGCTAGGAACGTGATTTATCGTATAATCAAGGGCCATAATCCATGAGGTTATGGTCCGATATATGCCAATATTGAAAGGAACCAAGATCTTTGGGTGATAGACCTATATTTAAAGTTTTGTCAAAATCGAATAAAAATTGTGACCACTAGAGTGTCCATAAACAAATTTTGGGATGGACAGGGGCAACGACAATATACATTCACATGAAAATGTGGGCGTATAAAAACGCAATTTTTCATACAATCAGGGGTCGTAATCCAGGAAATTACAGTCTGGTATGCACAAATATCAAAAGGAACCAAGATTTTTGGGATATAAACATAAATTTTAAGTCTCATCAAAATCAGATAAAACTTGTGACCTCTATAGAGGGTCCACAATCTTGGTATTATATACTTTTACACTATTTGCATACAAGGAGCGGCCATTGTGTCCGCCATTGTGTCCGCCACAATCTTGGTATTACATACTTTTACAATATTTGCATACGAGGAGTGGCTATTGTGTCCGCCATTAGAGTGTAATGGTGACATATTTGAACAGTTTTTAAAATTGGATACAAATTGTGACCTTTAGAGTGTCCACAAACAAAATGTGGGCATATGGGGATTAACAACCAACTTTTCTGCACTAAAAAGGCTAATAGGTATATGCCATGCAGGCAGTGTGCTATATTTCGAATTCCAACTGTCATCGCACCAGGCATCACATTTCACAACACAAGCCCACATCATCTACTATCTCCAATAAGTCCATAAAGTTTGTCAGAAATTTAATCTTTAGGTAAATAAGTTCTTAATTTATTAAATTATAACACCATTGGTGCATTTGAAAGATTCTATGTCATAATAAAGGACAATAACTCTATACTTATCAGAAATCTTTGCAATTGATATTCATTGCAATGAACAAAACAAAGATAACCAGCGGCTGCCAGGCAGGATACGCCCACATTTTCGAGAGATGGATAGAGAACAAACTAAAAAGAAAGTGATTTTTCGTACAATCGGGGGCCATAATTCAGGAAGCTACGGTCCGATATGCGCGAATATCGAAAGGAACCGAGATCTTTCGGTTATAAACTTACATTTCAAGTTTCAACAAAATCGGATAAAAATTGTGACCTCTATTTTACGCTATTTGAGAACGAACGGCAGCCATTTTGTAGGTCAATTTTGGGCCGATTTTCACGAAATTGGAACTCAGCTATCCTCTGGGTGTAACGGTGATATAATAATACGTTTTTTTAAATCGGATAAAAATTATGACCTCTATAGAGTCCACAAGCTAAAAACGCAATTTTTTGTACAATCAGGGGCTATTTTGTCTGTCAGTTTTGGGCTGATTTTCACGAAATTTGAACTCAGCCGTCCTTATGGTGTGACGGTGATATAATAATAGTTTTTTTTAAAAATCGGATAAAAATTATGACATCTATAGGGTCCACAAGCTAAAAACGTGATTTTTTGTACAATCCGGGGCCATAATTCAGGAAGCTACGGTCCGATATGCGCGAATATCGAAAGGAACCGAGATCTTTCGGTTATAAACTTACATTTCAAGTTCCAACAAAATCAGGGGCCATAATTCAGGAAGTTACGGTCTGATATGCGCGAATATCGAAAGGAACCGAGATCTTTGGGTTATAAACTTACATTTCAAGTTTCAACAAAATTGGATACAAATTGTGACCTCTATAGGGTCCACAACCTTGATATACCATATTTTTACGCTATTTGAGAACGAACGGCGGCCATTTTGTCTGTCAATTTTGTTCCGATTTTCACGAAATTCGAAATCAGCCTTCCTTAGGGCGTAACGGTGATATAATAATACGGTTTTTTAAATCGGTTAAAAATTATGACCTCTATAGGGTCCACAAGCTAAAAACGTGATTTTTCGTACAATCAGGGGCCATTATTCAGGAAGTTACGGTCCGATATGCGCAAATATCAAAAGGAACCAAGATCTTTGGGTTATAAACTTACATTTCAAGTTTCATCAAAATTGGATAAAAATTATGACCTCTATAGGGTCCATAACCTTGATATATCGTATTTTTACCCTATTTGAGAACGAACAGCGGCCATTTTGTTTGTCAATTTTGGGCCGATGTTCACGAAATTCGAACTCAGTCATCCTTAGGGTGTAACGGTGATTCAATAATACGTTTTTTTAAATCGGATAAAAATTATGACCTCTATAGGGTCCACAAGCTAAAAACATGATTTTTCGTACAATCAGGGGCCATAATCCATGAAGTTTAGATCCGATACATGCCAATATCGATAGCAGCCGAGATCTTTTGGGGATAAACCGATATTTCAAGTTTCGTCAAAATCGGATAAGAATTGTGACCTGTAGAGAGTCCACGAACAATTGTGGACGGACGGACGGACAGGGGCGACGGCATAATACGTCCACATGAAAATGTGGGCGTATAAAAATTAAAGTAGATTATAAGATGACTTTCCTTAGAGAGTTAACAAATTAAACAAGCCAACAGTGAGGCTGATGTCCCCAGCCCAAATCCCAAAACAAATAGATGACACATATTAATTAATCAGACATTTATTTTTTTTCAAAAGTATCAAGCAATCAAACTGATTATCAACTATACACTAAGTTTCATCACTCTCTATCAGATAGAATCAAAGCTATCTTGTCCTAAAGCATCGACCAATGAAATTTCTTAGCTCTGCTTAAGCTTTAGCTCGAAATGTTAATCATTGAACTCAGTCAAGACATTCACCTAATGAACATCTACATCAAGTTTGAACACTCTACCTTGTTATGTTCCAAAGTCTTGACCAATCAAATTGCTTAACGCTCCTTAGCCTAAGCAGAAAATTCTCATCATCGAACTTAGTCAAGGTAATGATATAATGAATCTATACTCAGAGTTACATCACTCCCCCTTAATTAAAACGAAAGTTATCATGCCCCAAAGCATCAACCAATCAGATTGCTTATCTCTGCTTACCGTAAGCAGACAATGTTTATCATCGAACTCCATCAAGGCATTGGTATAATAAATACCTACACTTAGTTTGAACGTTATAGCTCAATTAGAAGGAGAGTTAATGTGTTCCAAAGTCTCTGCCAATCAAATTGCTTATCGCTCTGCTTACCCTGAGCAGAAAATGCTCATAATCGAACTTAGTCAAGGTATTGATGTAATGAAACTATACACCAAGTTTCATCACTCTCATTTAATTGGAACTAAAGTTATCGTGTACCTTTCCATAATCTAACACAACCATCATCACCAGATGAACATAGTACTGTACCAAAAACATTCCAACTTACTCGCCATACCTGCAAAAATATTAAACATTTCATTTACCATAATAAAATCATCTGACTAAATCCAAACAATCCATACTAATTCCTGGTAATATGTTTTGCTGCTAGCAATTTCACAGAATTTAAAATAGGGCAATAATTCTGGAAGTAATTATCACAAAGGGATGAAATTCAATCAGATGAAATTCAATCGGTTCCATAAATGCAAAGGAGATGGGCACACATGGACAACTTTTGACGATAAAGAGTCCACAACTCTGTAACTGATATTCAAAATCAATATTTTTCTTTGTTTCATGAACAGTGATACATTTAGTTATCAAAAATCAGATGTTACTTTTAAACGATAGAGTGTCCAAAAGAATTAACAAATTTATAAAAGGCAATAAATCTGAAAACCAGCAGTTGCCAGGCAAGATACACCCACATTTTGCAAGAAATGGATAGAGAACAAGCTAAGAAAACCAGCGGCTGCCAGGCAGGATATGCCCACATTTTCGAGAGATGGATAGAGAACAAGCTAAAAAGAAAGTGATTTTTCCTACAATCAAGGGCCATAATTCAGGAAATTACAATTCGATATGCGCAAATATAGACAGAAACCGAGATCTTTGGGTTATAAACTTAAATTTCAAGTTTCAACAAAATTGGATAAAAATTGTGACCTCTATAGGGTCCACAACTTTGATATACCATATTTTTACGCTATTGGAGAACGAGGGGCGGCCATTTTGCCAGTCTGTTTTGGGCCGATTTTCACAAAATTTGAACACAGCTGTTCTTAGGGTGTAACGGTGATACACCAAAACGTTTTTTTAATCGGATAAAAATTATGACCTCTATAGGGTCCACAAGCTAAAACACGATTTTTCCAACAATCAAGGGCCATAATTCAGGAAATTACAATTCGATATGCACAAATATCGAAAGAAACCGAGATCTTTGTGTTATAAACTTACATTTCAAGTTTCAACAAAATCGGATTAAAATTGTGACCTCTATAGGGTCCAAAACCTTGATATTGTCGCTGCGCTTCCAAAACCTTGTATCTCGGATTTAGCCAAAAACTTTTTGGGGGTTTATTACATTCACATTTCATTGATATATGTCCTTTCAAAACCTCGGACCTCTAAACCAATTAGAAATGCTTATTTTTAGCTTGTGACTAATTGTCGTATTTCGATTGGACAAAAATATTTTCGTCAAAACCTCATACCTCAAGACCACGTTGAAACAACGTCAATAGTATTTCGATTGGACAAAAAATATTTTTGTCAAAACCTCGTATCTCAAGACCACGTTGAAACGACGTCAATAGAAGCCTGCATTTGTTAAAAACGGTAAGTTTTTATGATATTTAACCTCTATAAATTAACAACAAGAAATAATATTAATTTTTTATATATAATTAAGTTACCTAGATGTAATTTAGTACCAATTGAAGTTAATTTTAGGTATGTAATGTAGATATTTTGTCAGCTCAGCTAATATTGCCTAGAAAATTAGTCATTTTATTCCCACATTGACAAATAAACAACAAAGTAATACATTAAGGCCTTTTATATTTTAATTAAACTATTACAGTGTCTATTATATTCGCCAACACTTCCAAATTTGAGATACAACATTTTGGAATAAAAATTTGGAAAAATATTTTACGACATACGATATTTTGATGTAATTTAATATTTACATTTCAGAATGAAATGAAGATTTTAGAGATGTCTCAACGGCCTTTACTACCATTTTCTCAGGGGAAAATGATTCTTAAACTTGCTAATGCCAATTTCAACAACATAGATTCTTCTTTAGAAAGACCACCAATAGCTAATAAATCACATGAAGGTAATATAAACAGAAATGGTAAACAACAGAACATAACCAACAACCACAACAAACCATCCCATTTACTAAGTTCAAATTTAGATGAAAATTCTGGATCAAATATTATTGAAAATTCTTTCAAAACATCACCTCTGGTATCCGATGATAATGCTCAAACCATTGTTAGTTTAGAAGATATTGAGGTCGAAGAGGATATTGGTGAAATTAGTATATCTGATATAGGAGATATTGGTATAGACTCAATTATAACCAGCATAATTGTAGCACCGCCCGAAAACGTAACAGCAACCATAGAGTTAGATTATTCTGCAAATGATAAAGTTGTCTCCAAACCGAGTACTAGTACATGTAGTACACAAAATATTAAACAATGCCACAAGAGCAATCCGGATATAATTATTAAACAACCAATGGTAAACAGGGGTGGACTAATAGAAGAAATGGATCTTGATGACTCCATGAAAGATCCGGATTGGCAACCTAACTCTGGCACAGAAGAGGATGAAAGTTTTTACTGGAAGAACCAGCGGCTGCCAGGCAGGATACGCCCACATTTTCGAGAGATGGATAGAGAACAAGCTAACAAGAAAGTGATTTTTCCTACAATTAAGGGCCATAATTCATGAAGTTACGGTCCGATATGCGCGAATATTGAAAAGAACCGAGATCTTTGGGTTATAAACTTACATTTCAAGTTTCGACAAAATCGGATAAAAATTGTGACCTCTATAGGGTTCCACAACCTTGATATACCATATTTTTACGCTATTTGAGAACGAACGGCGGCCATTTTGTCTGTCAATTTTTGGCCGATTTTCACGAAATTCAAAATCAGCCTTCCTTAGGGCGTAACGGTGATATAATAATACGGTTTTTTAAATCGGTTAAAAATTATGACCTCTATAGGGTCCACAAGCTAAAAACGTGATTTTTCGTACAATCAGGGGCCATTATTCAGGAAGTTACGGTCCGATATGCGCGAATATCGAAAGGAACCGAGATCTTTAGGTTATAAACTTACATTTCAAGTTTCAACAAAATCAGATAAAAATTGTGACCTCTATAGGGCCCACAAGCTAAAAACGTGATTTTTCGTACAATCAGGGGCCATAATCCATGAAATTTAGATCCGATACATGCCAATATCGATAGCAGCCGAGATCTTTTGGGGATAAACTGATATTTCAAGTTTCGTCAAAATCGGATAAGAATTGTGACCTGTAGAGAGTCCACGAACAATTGTGGACGGATGGAGGGACAGGGGCGACGACAATATACGTCCACATGAAAATGTGGGCGTATAAAAAAAGTGATTTTTCTTACAATCAGGGGCCATAATCCAGGAAGTTATAATCTGAAATGCGCGAATATCAAAATGGACTCAGTTTTTGGGACATAAAGATATGTTTTAAGTTTCATTAAAATCGTATCAAAATTGTGACTTTTAGAGAGTTCACAACCTTGGTATTACATATTTATACACTATTTGTATACAAGGGGCGGCCATTTTGTCTGGCAATTTTGGTCCGATTTTCACAAAATTCAAACCCAACCATCATTAGGGTTATAATGGTTAGGTATTCAAACAGTTTTTTAAATCAGATAAAATTTGTGACCTCTAAAAACGTGATTTTTCGTACAATCAAGGGCAATAATTCAGGAAATTACAATCCGATATGCGTGAATATCAAAAGGAACCAAAATCTTTGAGTTATAAACATGCATTTCAAGTTTCATTAAACTCAGATGAAAATTGTGACCTCTAGAGAGTCCACAAGCTAAAAATGTGATTTTTCGTACAACCAGGGGCCATTATCCATAAAGTTATGGTCTGAAACATCCCAATATCGAAAGGAACCAAGATTTTTGGGAGATAAACCTATTTTTCAAGTTTCTCAAAAATCAGATAAGAATTGTCCAGAAATAAAATGTGAATGGACAGGGACGTTGAAAATATACGTCCACATGAAAATGTGGGGGTATAAAAACAAACCAACAGTGAGGCTGATGTCCCCCGCCGATGACACATATTAATTAATCGCACATCTATTTTTTCCCAAAGTATCAAGCAATCAAACTGATTATCAACTATACACTAAGTTTCATCACTCTCTATCAGATAGAATCAAAGTTATCTTGTCCCAAAGCAGGAAATTGCTTATCTCTGCTTAGCTTTAGCTCGATATGTTAATCATTGAACTCAGTCAAGACGAACATCTACATCAAGTTTAAACATTCTATCTCAATTAGAAGAAGAGTTGTTATGTTCCAAAGTCTTGACCAATCAAAATGCTTATTGCTCGTTAGCCTAAGCAGAAAATTCTCATCATCGAACTTAGTCAAGGTATTGATGTAATGAAACTATACACAAAGTTTCATCACTCTCACTTAAGTAGAACTAAAGTTATCGTGTTCCAAAGCATCAACCAATCAAATTGCTTATCTCTGCTTACCCTATGCAGAAAATGCTGATCTTCGCACTCCATCTAGGCATTGACCTCATAAACCCCTACACCAAGTTTGAACATTCAAGCTTAATTAGAAGGAGAGTTATTGTGTTCTTAAGTCTCGGCCAATCAAATTGCTTATCGCTCTGCTTACCCTGAGCAGAAAATGCTCATCATCGAACTTAGTCAAGATATTGATGTAATGAAACCAACACCAAGTTTCATCACTCTCACTTAATTTGAACTAAAGTTATCGTGTCCCAAAGCATCAACCAATCAAATTGCTTATCTCTGCTTACCCTAGGCAGAAAATGCTTATCTTCACACTCCATCAAGGCATTGACCTAATAAACACCTACACCAAGTTTGAACATTCTAGCTCAGTTAGAGAGAGAGAGAGAGAGAAATGGGGTTTAACGTCCACTCGACACAAACTAGGTCATTTCGGGACTAACATATGGTTTAATTTTATTTCAATAATTCGCTTGCGCGTAGGGGTCTTTAGCAGTGGGAGGAAACCGGAGGACCCGGAGAAAACCCACGAGGTTGGACAGGCGACCCTACTCCTTGTCACGTACAACCGGGGATTCGAAACCACGCCAGTCGACTCAATGACAGACTTTATGATACAGCGCGCGCACGCTAACCATTCAGCCATCCATTCAGCTCAATTAGAAGGAAGGTTATTGTGTTCCAAAGTCTCGGCCAATCAAATTGCTTATCGCTCTGCTTACCCTGAGCAGAAAATGCTCATAATCGAACTTAGTCAAGGTATTGATGTAATGAAACTATACACCAAGTTTCATCACTCTCATTTAATTGGAACTAAAGTTATCGTGTCCCAAAGCATCAACCAATCAAATTGCTTATTTTTGCTTACTCTAAGCAGAAAATGCTTATCTTCACACTCCATCAAGGCATTGACCTAATAGAAACCTACACCAAGTTTGAACATTCTAGCTCAATTAGAAGGAGGGTTATTGTGTTCCAAAGTCTCGGCCAATCAAATTGCTTATCGCTCTGCTTACCCTGAGCAGAAAATGCTCATTATCGAACTTAGTCAAGGTATTGATGTAATGAAACTATACACCAAGTTTCATCTCTCTCACTTAATTAGAACTAAAGTTATCGTGTCCCAAAGCATCAACCAATCAAATTGCTTATCTCTGCTTACCCTAAGCCGAAAATGCTCATCTTCGAACTCCATCAAGGCATTGACCTAATAAACACCTACACCAAGTTTGAACATTCTAGGTTAATTAGAAAGAGAGTTATTGTGTCCCAAAAAGTGTGACTATTCACCAAATACTGGTAGAAAATAATGTACATTCAAACCCCCTTCTTCAAAAAATGCCATACAAAAGGGAGGAGAAAGGCTTACTAAAGAATTACTATAAATAGATGTATTACATTTGTGGGTACTGCAATAAGAGGAAACAATTACTAGTCCATTAAAAATTAAAATGATTCATCTCCTGTACATAGACATTGTATGTAAATTTCTTGTTAGTCGGATGAGAAGTTTTACTTAATACAGACTAAACATTTCTGACTATATGGAATAGATTTTAACTAGGCAATTACAGATCAATTTTCAACAACAATCATACTAACCTAACATATTGATTAGCTACAAAAACATCAGATAATTGAATTAAACTCAGCAAGTAATCTGAGTCGAAATATAAAATAAAGAAAGACACAACATACCTTGGAGTCGTGTTCAGTAAATTCAGCTATTCGGTGCATATCAAATTTACTGATAGCTCCAGCACTTACTGGCTCTTTTCTGTAAGTAGACATACCTAACTTCTGTAATTATCTTGTGGATTAATATATTAAAGTGGAATTCAAATTTATTTATAATATAAAATAACTTATTCAAAAGGGATAAATACAAAGTTTTACAGGTCATGCTCAATTAAAAAAATGACCATAACTATCAAAATTTTCCAATACATGAATATTTTTTTCTATGAAATTATTGTATCATTTTCAAAGAAATATACTCAACAAATTTCTTTTTCTGGTAAGTCAAATAAATTTTAAAGTGTTTCTAACGATAGTAAGTATTAAGAAGCCTTTAATTTCATAAAATTGTAAAGTCACGTGGTTCACGTGACTTTTGAGCATATAAAGATGAAAAACCTGAAAAACACGTGCAAACACAAACTCGTGAGGTCAATCGATGCAAGTTTGCTTAAACTGAACACGCACACGTAACTTGAACTGGAAAAACAAATTAAAATTGTTATTTTCATCTTTGTTAGAAAATGCCGCGCCTTTCAAATGTAAAACATCTACGTGCTATAGGTAGGCTCTATGCTGGTCAGTCTGTGGTCACTGTTGCAAGAGCCTTTAATTGTTCACGCCAGACAATAATTAATCTTAGAATGAGAGTGCTTCAAACAGGAACTATTGCCGACTGCCCAAGGGCGGGAGCGCCACGTGTGACGTCACTCCAGGAAGATCAAGCAATACGATTACATCATCTTAGAAACAGATTTGTCACTGCAACCTCGACAAGTAGAGAGATGTTTGGTGGAAGGGTAACTGCACAAATTGTTCGAAATCGCTTGCAGGCTGCTGGTCTTCGAGCTCGGAGGCCCTATAATGGACAAAAATTGACACCTTTTCATCGCCGTAACCGACTTGTGTGGGCAACAAGATACATAACATTTACTCAAAGACAGTGGAATTCGGTTGTCTTTAGTGACGAATCTCGATTCACTTTGAGATTTGCCGATGGCAGGGTCCGAGTGTACCGCAGACGAGGTGAATGTTACGCTCAAGTATGCGGCAGAGAAGTTGACCGATTTGGTGGCGGCAGCGTCATAGTTTGGGGTTCTTTTTGTGCACATGGACGTTCTCCTCTTGTTGTTGTCCAAGGCAACTTAAATGCTGTCCAGTACAGGGATCAGATTTTGCAACCTGTTCTTCTTCCGTTTATGCACAGACATGGGCCTGGACTAACGTTTCAACAAGACAATGCTCGACCCCATACAGCAATTGATACCCAGAATTTTTTAAGAAATGCCGGTGTCCAAGTCCTGGATTGGCCATCGCTTAGCCCCAACCTTAATCCTATTGAACACATCCGGGACAAACTGGGTCGACGTGTTCATCAGCAAGTGAATCCACCCATGACGTTGCAGAACCTTCAACATGCTCTTGCTGAGCAGTGGCGACGTCTTCCTCGGGTAGTGTTTACTAATGTTCTGAGATCCATGAGAAGACGTTGTGTGGCAGTACGAGACGCTAGAGGAGGCCACAACCGTTACTAAACACTTTATTCCGATTGTTCTCCAAGTATGTGAATTTCATTTTGGGGGGTACTGTGACATCACAAACGTTATCAATGTCAAGGACTTTCGGCGAGACGTATTCTTGCTTTCTGTTGACGTCAAGGTCGTCTGTGCACAACATAACACTAAAATAGGTTGCCTTAAACCAAATATTAAAAATCTAGTCCCAAAAATCCTGAGTGTCAAGTTTTTAATTTGGCTGGGTATATGATCATTATGTCAATAAAGCAGGAGTATTACTGTTTAAAAATGAATACTTCTTATCAAACAAGCCAACAGTGAGGCTGATGTCCCCCGCCGAAATCCCCAAATAAATGGATGACACATATTAATTAATCGCACATCTATTTTTTTCAAAAGTATCGAGCAATCAAACTGATTATCAACTATACACTAAGTTTCATCACTCTCTATCAGACAGAATCAAAGTTATCTTGTCCCAAAGCATCGACCAAAGAAATTGATTATCTCTGCTTAGCTTTAGCTCGATATGTTAATCCTTGAACTCAAGTCAAGACGAACATTACATCAAGTTTAAACAGTCTACCTCAATTAGAAGCAGAGTTGTTATGTTCCAAGGCTTTGACCAATCAAAATGCTTATTGCTCCTTAGCCTAAGCAGACAATTCTCATCATCGAACTTAGTCAAGGTATTGATGTAATGAATTATACACCAAGTTTTATCAGTCTCACTTAATTAGAACTAAAGTTATCGTGTCCCAAAGCATCAACCAATCAAATTGCTTATCTCTACTTAACATAAGCAGAAAATGCTCATCTTCGCAATCTATCTAGGCATTGGCCTCATAAACACCTACACCAAGTTTAAACATTCTAGCTCAATTAGAAGGAGAGTTATTGTGTTCCAAAGTCTCAGCCAATCAAATTGCTTATCGCTCTGCTTACCCTTAGCAGAAAATGCTCAATATCGAACTTAGTCAAGGCATTGATGTAATGAAACTATACACCAAGTTTCATCACTCTCAATTAATTGGACCTAAAGTTATCGTGTCCCAAAGCATCAACCAATCAAATTGCTTATCTCTACTTACCCTAAGCAGAAAATGCTCATCTTCACACTCCATCAAGGCATTGACCTAATAAACACCTACACCAAGTTTAAACATTCTAGCTCAATTAGAAGGAGAGTTATTGTGTTCCAAAGTCTCAGCCAATCAAATTGCTTATCGCTCTGCTTACCCTTAGCAGAAAATGCTCAATATCGAACTTAGTCAAGGTATTGATGTAATGAAACTATACACCAAGTTTCATCACTCTCACTTAATTGGAACTAAAGTTATCATGTCCCAAAGCATCAACCAATCAAATTGCTTACCTCTACTTACCCTAAGCAGAAAATGCTCATCTTCACACTCCATCAAGGCATTGACCTAATAAACACCTACACCATGTTTGAACATTTTAGCTCAATTAGAAGGAGAGTTATTGTATTCCAAAGTCTCGGCCAATCAAATTGCTTATTGCTCTGCTTACCCTGAGCAGAAAATGCTCATTATCGAACCTAGTCAAGGTATTGATGTAATGAAACTATACTCCAAGTTTCATCACTCTCACTTAATTAGAACTAAAGTTATCGTGTCCCAAAGCATCAACCAATCAAATTGCTTATCTCTGCTTACCCTAAGCGGAAAATGCTCATCTTCGAACTCCATCAAGGCATTGACCTAATAAACACATACACCAAGTTTGAACATTCTAGCTCAATTAGGAAGAGAGTTATTGTGTCCCAAAAAGTGTGACGGACAGACAGACAGACGGACGAACCCATTTTAATAGTCCCCTGCTTTCTTCGAAAGGCGGGGGACAAAAATACTATTTGTGCAAGGTCTTAAATGTCAAACTTACCCTAGATTGCCAATTGGTTTTATGCTAAACAGACTGAGATCTTTAGAAGCTACGGCTAAGATATGATAGGACTTCCCAAAATTTGGTGCAAAAGCCAAATCATGTACAGAATCTGTTACCATTGATATGATTTCAACTTTTCTCCATTTTCTGTTAAACATTCAAATACTAATAAAATCTAGTGTATATAATTTAAATCATGTGGAATCATGCATGATTATAATATTATGGTTAATCCGTGAGGATCACACAAAAGGAGACATAAAAAATTCATCAAAAGAATTTTTGCAGATATGTCATTGATGGTAATTTATTATTGGAAAGACTTGTCCCCATTAAAAAAATCTATCTTACATGAGCTTGGATCTAAATGTTATGAGTTTTAAAATATTTTATCTGACTGACGGCTAGACCTAATAAACTTCTTGCATTAAACCAGCACAAGCAAAGATAGTTTGCCAGGCAACAAAACATACACCCACAGCAGCTAAATCGTCCGAGCAGTCGACAAGGGTTGTTGCATAATTATTTTTTAGTAGGTAATTGGGGGCATTTACAATACAATTTCATACAGATCAGATTATAATTTTTGTCCTTTGAGGGTTCACAAGGTTCTACAAACTGAGACAAGGGCCTTAACTCTGGAAGTAATTTAAAGAAAAGTTTGAGGTTTGAAATAAATTTCATACAGATCGGATGATAAATTTTGTCATTCGAACATTCACAAGGTTCTCAAAGTAAAACAAGGGCCATAACTAGACAGAGAGAGAGAGAGAGAGAGAGAGAGAGGTTTAACATCCACTCGACACAAACTAGGCCATTTCAGGACTAATACATGGTTGAATTTTATTTCAATAATTCACTTAGCAGGGAGAGGAAACCGGAGGACCCGGAGAAAACCCTTGAGGTTGGACAGGCGATCCTACTATTTGTCACGTACAACCACGCCAGTTGACTCAATAACAGACCTTATGATACAGCGCGCACGTGCTAACCATTCGGCCATCCAACCCCCCTGATAACTCGAGAAATAACTGACGGAAATTGCTGAAATTCAATAGACCTCTGTTTCACAAATTTAAATGATGCATATAAATTTCATACATATCTGATGATAACTTCCATCAATCGAGCATTAACAAGGTTGAACAAAGTGAAACAAGGGCCATAACTCGAGAAGTAATTATTGTAAATTGCTGAAATTAAATATGCTTCGTGGTTTCACTAATCTAAATAAAGTATATAAATGTTGTACAGATCGGCTGATAACTTTTGGCGTTAAGAGTGTTCACAAAGTTAAATAGGCTTCTTCATTTCACTAATTTAAATAATGTATATAAATAAAACACAAAGATCGGATGATAATTTTTGGCGTTAGCGCGTTCACATGGTTCAACAAGTGAAACAAGGGCCATAACTCTAGACATAATAAATTGAAATTGCTGAAATTGAATAGGATTCTTCTTTTTACTAATTTAAATGACGCATATCAATTTCATACAGATCGGCAGATAACTTTTGTTGTTAAAGCGTTCACAGGGTTCAACAAAGTGAAACAAGGGCCATAACTCTAGATGTAATTAACAGAAAGTACTGAAATTCACTAGGCTTCTTCGTTTCACTAATTCAAATAATGGATATAAATATCATACAGATCGGATGACAACTTCTGTTGTTGGATCGTTCACAGGGTTTGACAAAGTGAAACAAGGGCCATAACGCTAGACGTAATTAACAGACATTTCTGAAATTCAATAGGCTTCTTCGTTTCAATAATTTAAAGGATGCACATAAATTTCATACAGATCGAATGATAATTTTTGTCATAAGAGCATTCACAAGGTGCAATAAAGTGAAATTAACAGAAATTATTGAAATTAAATAGGCTTCTTCATTTCAATACTGTAAACAATGTGTATCAATTTCAAAACAGTGGGATAATAAATGCAATCTGTAGAGTGTTCACAAGAAATTGTGGACTACGGACCTACGAGGGCGACGACAATATACAACAACATTTCCACGTGGGCGTATACAAATGATCATTTATGCACTATTGATAATTAGCATCCCTTTTAACTCTGTGCCTTGTGGGAAATTTTATCCAGAAAGTGCACACTTCCATCTACTCTTCATCTAATGGCCATGGGTTCTTTAACATGTGCACCAACGTATACTTGGGGCACTGCTCCTTCGAAGGCTCTTCGTCCAGCACCACTATCTACGGCTCGAGGAAATCAGACTATAAAATTCTGAGGCACTTTCTTGACCAACACAGGATTGAACTCGCAATCTTCTGGTTAGTTAACTAGCGCCTTTATTACTAAGCCACAGTGCCTCCCACGACGAAGGAAATAATATGCCCAATTTCCACTGTCAAAAATACTAGTATGTCAATTTTACCTGTTAGCATCACTATATTCATAGATATGAACTTTACCCCCTGCCGTGGGACTAGGATCATCACTACCTACAGCTATCATAGGTAGATGGGATCTGAATTTGGAAAACAAAAACAACATAAAAATAGAAATAGAAGTTTGTTTCATTAAGTTTAAATACATAACTTTATTAAATTACATTTACATGGTCTCAATTTATTATCAAGTTTAACATGCATGTTAGATTAAATCTTTGTCGGCTGCGTGGGTAGTACAGTGGACTCACAAGAAGGATGTCCCAGGTTCAAATCATGGTTTTGGCCAAGAAGAACCCTTGGAATTTTTCAATCCCTGTTCTCACTTATCAGGAATGGCACCTGTGGATCTGGAAGGAATGTGTGTCTTGTCCTTGTCATCTGGTGGCTTGCAAAACCAGGGTCATGGATTGGTAATGGATTTAAAAGATCATTGGCTGTTTGATTTAAATAAAAGTTTGTGGAAACACTTAACTGTAGAAATAATAATCACAATCAGGGCCGGCAGAAGCAATTCTTGATTGGGGGGCTACCATCCTAGGTCCTTAGATGAGGATCCAGGGGCCACCTAGGCCCCGGAAGCTCTTGGGGGTCTAGATTGTCGGAGACGCTTTCTGAGCGATTTCTGGCTAATAAAATTACTCAGCAATGAAGTGAAATTTTATTTCTTTTCTAACTTCCTTACCATGAAAACACAATCTATAGTGGTTTAACCCTGTGATGCCGAACTTAACAAATATATGCATAATAATACCAAGGCTGTGGATACTCTAGAGGTATTTTGATGAAACTTACAATGTAAGTTTATTATCAAAAGATCTCGGTTCCTTTCGATATTGGCGCATATAGGACCCTCACTTCCTAGATTAAGGCCCCTGATTGTACGAACAATCACATTTTAGTTTGTGGACCCTGTAGAAGTAATAGTTTTTATTTGATTGTAAAAACCGTTCAATTCTATCAGCTAATAATTTTTATTCGATATTGACGAAACTTTAAATAGGTCTATCTCCCAAAGATTTCGGTTCCTTCGAAATTGGCATGTATCGGACTGTAACTTCATGGATTATGACCTCTGATTGTATGAAAAATCATGTTTTTAGCTTATGGACACTCTTGGGGACACAATTTTCATCCAATTTTGATGAAACTTGAAATGTATGGTTGGTTCCTTTCCATATCGGATTCTAACTTCCTGGATTATGACCCCTGATTGTGCGAAAAATCACGTTTTTAGCTTGTGGTCCCTCTAGAGGTTACAATTTTTATCCAATTTAAAAAGCGTTCGAATATATCACTGTTACACCTTATATACGGTTATATTCACGTTTCATGAAAAAAGGACTGTGCTGCCCAACAAAATGACCACTCCCCTAAAAGCATGTAATGCCCATGTTAGATCTAAATATTAAGGGCACCTGCAGATTTCGCCAAGATGTAAACAGTGCTAGCGCCAACCCTAACCCAAGATCTATCCCTTACCCTAACCCACAATCACATGCGCTAACCCTGTTTACATCTTGTGACCTTGACGATATCTGCCGGTCGCTTTAATATTTAGATCTGACCATAATACCACGGTTGTAGACCATCCAGAGGTTTGAATTTTTTATCCAATTCTGATGAGAAACTTTAAATATATATATTTATATCCCAAAGATCTGGGTTCCTTTCGATATTGGACCGTAACTTTCCAGATTATGACCATTTTATTATACGAAATATCACATTTTTAGCTTATGGACCCTCTAGAGGTCATAATTTATATCTTATTATTAAACTGTTCAAATATATAATTGTTACACCATACTTATTTCCTCAAAATCAGACCAAAACTTCCCCGTCAAATAGCCACTCCCTTTTATGAAAATAGAATAATAAAAGCATGTAATACCCATGTTGTGAACCATCTAGAGGTCACAATTTTATCCGATTTAGATTAAATTTAAAGCGAGTATCACTAGTTCTTGGGTTAGTTCAATTTTCGTGCGCATCTGCTCCTGCCTTTTACACAAAGTATGAAATATGAATAAAGTTTGTGAACCATTCAAAATGAAACTTAAACTGTGTGTTAAGGATCAAAAGTTCTTGGGTGAGTTCAACTTTAGTAGCATCAGATCTTACATTCTAGAGCAATAGCCCCTGCTTTTCATGCAAAATTTGAAATATATACGGATTTTGTAGGTCCTCCAGCGTGGCTACCATTGTTGTCCAATTCTGATGAAACTTAAATATGTTAAGGATCAAAAGATCTTGAATGAGATGATGAGCTCGATTGATTTTACCTCTTCCCCATCCATTTCTTGCAAAATGTGGGCATATGTTGCATGGCAACTGCTTGTTTTAACTGGTCATAACTGATAGCTGTGAATTATCTGATGGATAAGGGACACAGAGAAAGAGTATAAATAAAACTCTATCCTGTCGTTTTTCTAATTACCTAAGATGTCATACATGTAGATACAACGGATGTAAGACGAACTTGAAATACAGATCGACTGTTTAGTTATCTAATAGCGACCCTCGCAACCTTGGGTCTCTTAACCCAGGGATAAGTATGAGCATAGCAGGGTTTTATTCTTCTGAAGTCTACCTTCTAGAAGTCTCACTTCTATGTTAAAATCAAGCCTCTCTGTTTTTAATAGAATAGTTACTTGCCAGCAATAACCTGGATAAAAGAGTACTTGCGAACAAATTAAAGCCCCCCCTCCCCACCAGATTCATAATGATCTAAGTAAAGCGTTTACATAACATTTAATCCCACTCCATTCATTTGAAATTATTATCTAAATCTTTATCTTTAACCAATCTTACCTAAACATGGATGGATTCCATGCCAAACAACTACAACTAAGACCACATTGTATTTCATGTTGTAATGACCATTGACTGAGATTCATCACATCATGAGCTTCATATATTCTAACAACACAATCAGCAGAACATGTTGCCTAGAAAAAAACAGACTTTAATGAATATTTTGGTGACATAAATTGTCCAGCTACACAGTAACAAACGTTTAATACTATACCAATCTGTAATGTGTACATGATCAGAATTAACCTACACGCCCCCCTCGAAATCAGTATGACGTACAAACACAACATCAACCAATCAGATTTAAAGCGATGCTATTTTCTCATATAACTTGTCTTGAGAATGCTATAACATTACACCAGATGAATACTTTCAATGATCTGGGACAGTGAAGGGATTTTGCCTGCATATTCCGGACATGTCCGACGCTATTTCCCAAGCGTCCTAAATTGTCCAACCTGGAATATGCCCAAACAGACATTCACATTTAAAGCATTCACAATTCAAATTGCTTATCTCTGCTTAGTCTCATCATCAAACTCAAATCCAGATGTTCACCTAATGAACATCTACCCTAAGCTCATTAGAAGAAGCAGAGTTATTGTCTTCAAAAAGGTGAGATGGGTGGACGAACGAACCCATTATAACTATTCTGCACTGAGCCTAAATACATTGGTCATGGTATGTTTATTCAATAAAGCATAACAATTTAAGAATTTCTGACACTAAAAATTTTTAGTTTTGAAACTAACTGCCTAATGATACTCAATTAACAGTTAATCTTACCAACAATAATCCTAAATGTCTAGGAGCAAACTTAACATCAGTAACAGAGGTTCGGCTATCTACCAAGCTCGTTCTTCTCACCCAGTGTGATTGTTTGCCTTCTCTTGACTGTTCACCTAGTAATTCCTCCCAGATTGCTGCAGTTCGATCAAAAGAGCAAGTAGCTATGACCTGACCAAATTCTGGATGGCACCATGTTACTCTCCAAACTGATCCACTGTGTGCCTGTGAATAAGATGGAAACTCAAGAAATCAAAATTTGTTTCATTACAATGTTTATTCAACTATTTATTCAACTATCAGCCTTCATAACCTAGCAGTCCTCCTGAGTAAAAGTATGGTAATATTATAATAAATTTGGTCAAAGACTTAAATCTGTAGAGTGAGTACAAGAAAGTGTGTATTGAGTGATAGACATGGTTGACAACAATTTATGATCAGTACTGATCACATAAACATCTTGGTGTATTTAAATCTAAGTAGAATGTTTAATCTGCACTTGATCACATACCCACTCAGTATATTTTAACACTTGCATATCGGAAGCCCATCTTTTTATCTCAGAAAGTGTTGTACGTCTAACTCTTCAGAAAGTTTATCAACTTGTACATCAAGCGCTCAATGTTCGCGTGCACATGACCTTTGACATCACGTGTGCAGAAATTCCTAATCGTCGAGCTGTTGATTAGGGGAACCCTTACATTTTTGTCCTGAATACGTTTCATGAGTGTTTTCGGAGAATCCAGTATATTTCTAGTAAGATTGGATATCTCTACTTTCCATATATACCAAAATTACGATACTTTTATTGGAAATAACCACCCGATAAATACTTTTTTTGGAACCCATCTTTAAATCATAAAATACACACTCAATATATTTTAACACTCATTAATCAGAAAATCGGGCACTCATGTGAAATATAAAGTAACACAAGATGTTTTTATTTTTTTTACACAAGTTCTGCAGGGCTCATATAGTTTCAGTTTACACAATGGGTTCATAAAAGTTGAAGATTATGTGAAATGCAAGCCATCAGTCTAAAGTTGTTTCAAGTGAGTCATGGGGTGAGTGAGGGAGGGAAAGGTTTAATAAGTGCATTTTAGATCATGAAGTCTGTGAGTGAGTCAAGTGGCATGGAAAGGTTTAATAAATGCATTTTAGATCATGAAGTCTGTGAGTGAGTCAAGTGGCATGGTTTTTATTCCCTGCTTGGGTTTTCTTCGGGTCCTTCAGTTTCCTCCCACTGGTAAAGACTTACGTTTAGAGCTGACCTACTAAAGACCCCTACATGCAAGCAAATTATCAAAATAAAATTGAACCATATATTAGTTCCAAAATGATCTAGTTTGTGTTGAGTAAACCCCATTTCTCTTTCTCTTTCCAAGTGAGTTATACAATTCAGACATGTTACATGAAACTTGACATTTATAATTATATGTGGGCTACAATGTAACCAGTATTTACCTTCCATGCAGCTGTACAATTCCATTGGTCTTCCTCATCACAATCCCAGATCTACAGTAATAAATAATTAGCTTGTATTACCATATCACATCATTCAATTAGGTTAGCATATGATAAATGATCTTTTCTGAATTTATTATTTTATAAAAGTTTGGGTTTTATAAAATGAGGTGTAAAATGAAGGGAGTAGGAGCACCTTCATAATCCTTCAAGTGATCTTGTTCTCCTTTGAAGACCATTTCATCTCCCTTAATGTTTAAATTGTATGTTTTAAAAAAAAAACACTTTGCCAGGCAAGATATGCCCACATTTTGCAAGAGATGGATGGAGAACAAACTAAAAAAAAAAAAAAGCAATTTTTCATACAATCAGGAGTCATAAACAAGGAAGTTATGGTCTGAAATGTGGGAATATAGAAATGGACTGAGATATTTGGGATATAAAGATATAGTTTAAGTTTCATCAAAATCGGATAAAAATTGTCACTTCTAGAGGGTCCACAACCTTGGTATTACATACTTTTACAAGGAGCGGCCATTTTGTCCGGCAGTTTGGGTCAAATTTTTACGAAATTCGAACTCGGTCTTCATTAGGGTGTAACGGTGATATATTCAAACTTTTTTTTTAAACGAATAAAAATTGTGACCCCTAGAGGGACCACAAGCTAAAAACATGATTTTTCGTACAATCAAGGGCAATAATTCAGGAAGTTATGATCCAATATGCGTGAATATCAACAAGAACCAAAATCGTTGGGTTAAAACCATGTATTTCAAATTTCATCAAAATCGGATCAAAATTGTGACCTCTAGAGACTCCACAACCTTGGTATACCATATTTTTACACTATTTGCGTACGAGGGGCGGCCTATGTTTTAAAAAAAAAACACTTTGCCAGGCAAGATATGCCCACATTTTGCAAGAGATGGATGGAGAACAAACTAAAAAAAAAAAAGCAATTTTTCATACAATCAGGAGTCATAAACAAGGAAGTTATGGTCTGTTTTAAGTTTCATCAAAATCGGATAAAAATTGTCACTTCTAGAGGGTCCACAACCTTGGTATTACATACTTTTACAAGGAGCGGCCATTTTGTCCGGCAGTTTGGGTCAAATTTTTACGAAATGCGAACTCGGTCTTCATTAGGGTGTAACGGTGATATATTCAAACTTTTTTTTTAAACGAATAAAAATTGTGACCCCTAGAGGGACCACAAGCTAAAAACATGATTTTTCGTACAATCAAGGGCAATAATTCAGGAAGTTATGATCCAATATGCGTGAATATCAACAAGAACCAAAATCGTTGGGTTAAAACCATGTATTTCAAATTTCATCAAAATCGGATCAAAATTGTGACCTCTAGAGACTCCACAACCTTGGTATACCATATTTTTACACTATTTGCGTACGAGGGGCGGCCATTTTGTCTGGCAGTTTTGGTCCAATTTTCACAAAATTCAAACTCAACTGACATGAAGCAGTGATATATTCAAAAGTTTTTTTAAATCAGATAATAATTGTGACCTCTAGAGGGACCACGTGATTTTATGTACAATCCGATATGAGCAAATACCGAAAGGAACAAAGATATTTTGGTTATAAGCGTGCATGCAATTAAAGTTTCATCAAAATCAGATGAAAATTGGGACCTCTAGAGTGTCCACAAGCTAAAAACATGATTTTTCATACAATCAGGGGTCATAATCCATTTCTAATCAGTTATAGGCTATGTTCAGCAAAATACACGAAGAGTCTGGATTGAATGGCGTCTTTGGCCATTAAACTTTAAATATTCGTGTGAGGAGTTTCACAAGTACCGGTACCATATTTCTTGTCTCCGATTGCTGGGAATGGTGTTTTCGGGTTTCTAGTTTTCAAAAATTTTCGAGCGAGGGGAATTTGTGTGCCAATTTTAAAATTTTCATTTTGTCTTAAATATTGGATCTTAGAGCCGAACTTTTAACAGTATGATAACAACATCAATGTTGATTTTAATTGACCAGTAAGCCGTGTTTGCAATGTCAAAGACTGTGGATGATATTGTATTGAACTAAAGACTTGGCTCCTTTTATTATATTTAATACATATATTATAACTGACAGCAATTACAATACACAATGTATTCAGTGATGTCACATGAACATTATGACAGATGTCATCATTTCCATCAGATTATTTCACCTTAACACTGTGGTCACTTGAACATGATGCCATTCTTTTCCCATGGAAGTCATATTTAACATCATGAATCAAATCTTCATGTGCCATTGGAAAGGTCTTACTGCCACTGGACCTGAACATCGTGATTTTCTACTTTTACTTTAGGGAGTTTGGCTTTAATTTTAGTTATATTTCAACTCCAAATTTACTAAATTTTAATTCTATATTCAATTAATTGTCTCCAAATTCCTGCATTGTTATTGGATGAAGATGACTAGCTTGCGTCTTCTCCTGAGCCTCAAAGCCAACAAGTCATCTTTCACTTTTTTGTTTACAAGTACAGTTTTATGTTTAATATTATCATCCTATATTCTGTCCACATCGACCATTCGTTCCATTTCATCCTAGGTCAGATTGCCCGTTGTATCATTGCAATATTTTTTATTAAATAGACACGCTAAATAATAAAAAAAAATGCTTTATCGTGTAAGGTATTAGCAGTATTATTATCGGTCGTGCTATTTTGAAAGAAACCTTTTACGTGATGACTTTAGGTGTAGTCGTAAACTGAAAAAAATATTACAAGAGTTTTGATTAAGCTATTTCTATGAAATAGCATATCTTAACCAATCAACATATATTACACAAAACAGAGTTGGATATCAACCCGGAAGTGGAATTAGACAACCGGAACTTCTACTGTTACATTTAGCATGAAACGACATTTCTCTTATCTTAGTTCTTAAATGAAATATGCACTAAAAATAGATACATATCTATATCTATCTGTTTTATATACAGGTAAATCCATGTAGTAGAAACCAGATGAATGGGTAATTATCTTATTTAATACATAATAAATAGGAATAGGTCTATGTCGGCTATGTACACTAGGCTTGACTAGGCGTTACAAACAAAATATCGTTGTGTTTTTCTAGCAATCTATCTGCTAGTAGGCTAGTACTAGCCATCAAAAAATAAATCATTGATGTTGATGGCCTCAATAAGAAACAATGCTTAGATCTATTTAATACAGAATTATATATAGGCATCGCACATTTGTTTGCGCAACCTTATTTCGAAGAATGCAGAGAAAAAAAATCCTCTGCACAAACAGGGGAGACCCTCCTCTTGACACGCATGCCAATTGCCATGTGTTTTGAAGACACTTTTACCACCATAATTTGCTATTAATATTATGGTAAGAATAACTACATTTACTGATGTTTTACTGATCCTGACATGCTAAAATGTATAAGGTAAACCCAAAACAGTTGTAGATAAAGTTTGATTGGTTTATGTACAGTTTAAAAATAATTGTTTTATGAACTATCTATAGTCTAACTTGAGCATTGTAGAACATAAGAGAGAGAGAGAGATGGGGTTTAATGTCCACTCGACACAAACTAGGTCATTTCGGGACTAACATATGGTTTAATTTTATTTACATAATTTGCTTGCGCGTAGGAGTCTTTAGCAGTGGGAGGAAACCGGAGGACCCGGAGAAAACCCACGAGGTTGGACAGATGCCCCTACTCCCTGCCACGTACAACTGGGGATTCGAAACCACGCCGGTGGACACAATGACAGACTTTACACATGTATGATACAGCGCGCGCACGCTAACCATTCAGCCATCCAACCCCCCATAGAACATATCTTTCTCTTTGTTGTTGTTGTTTAAGCTTACATGTTTCTTTTTTTTGAGAATTTCAAGTAAAGATGTTATAACCAACCTGCTGGCTAATTAGTAATTTTAGTAACAAAAAATTTTAGTAGTAATTTTAGATGTTAAGCCCTAACAACTGCAAATCACAACTTGTAATCTGCCAATCCTAGCGCTGTAATGTATATATATACTGGTATTTATTTACTCTTATATTCCACAATCTTTATATTGTGTTTTTAGTTTCAGCTTGAGTAGAATTTTTCTACCATTTCCCTCCCAAGATTTTATTTAGAATAAAAGTTTGCAGGGTAAAATAGAACTACTCTTATTTTGATATTAATATTTTCAGACAATCTGTTTGATGTTTATGAATGGAAAAACTGAGCAAGATGCCTGTGACAAGATTTCATCGGTATCATGGACAGAATATTGATCTTTCTCATGATAGTATGGTGGCTTCGAGAGAAACAAGCTTTGCACATGCTCTAACCTTTAGTGAACACCCATTAACACCAGGTGAAATATTTTTGGTTGAAATTGAGAAAAATGAAAGAGGTTGGAGTGGACATCTGAGAGTAGGACTTACCCAACTTAATCCAGGAAATCGGTTTGAATTACCACAGTTTGCCTTACCCGACCTTGCAAACTTGGGTAAATCATGGATATTTGCTGTGACAAAGACACATAATAGAGTTGTACCAGAAAATCAGGAGCCATACAAATCTGTTATAAGAAACTCTGAAGTTATTCATACCCCGCGTGGATCTTTTAGTAGAAATATGTTGTTACCTATCAGTAGAAATGGTGAACCGTGTAGTAATTCAGACAATAAAAGTACTATTTTACCTACTGATTTAGGTAGTAGGATAGGTATAATGTATAAAGTTGAGGGCAATGTTGCAGAAATGCATTTTATTATTAACGGTGAAGATCAGGGCCCCTCTTCAAATACTATCCCATTACAAGGTGGACCATTGTATGCCGTTGTTGATGTGTATGGTACAACAAAACAAGTACGAATAGTCCAGTTATATGGAGGTAAATTCTTATTTATTAAACTACATACCAGTATTTGTGACCTGTGCTGGCTAAATGAGTCGGAATGCAAAAAAATTAATATTGGGCTACAGACAAAACAAGTGAAAATATTGATGTGGCATATCATAAATTAATCAACTGGGTTAAACCCGAAACTTGTCATTGAAAAATATTAATCAATTGTCATAGATTAATGAGTAGTTGATTTCTAATTGTCAATGAAACATGTATATATAAAACCTTTCTCAGGTCATTATTTACCCTGAATAATTAATCCAAGTGCCAGCGGTGATTATTTGACATCTTGTTTCATCTTAAAAAAAATCATTTATATTGATAGTTGAATTTCATTTACTGTGGCTTTATACGGCATATGATTCATGAAATATACAAGCATGCCTAATTGGATATTATTGTTTCAAATTTTTATCAGCAAGGTTTGGAAACATTAGAACAAGGAAATAATCGAAAAGCTACAAATCTCTAGTGAGATTAAGGGAAGTTATTCCCACAAAAGTTATAATATATACAAAACATGGGTTACTAAAGTATGGAGTATTCACAATCACATTTGTTCTAAATTGTAACACTGTTATAGGAAATGTTTTTATTAAAGGACTAATTAGCAAATAAATTGCCTGGTTGCTATGTGATTTTGTTTTGGACCATACATGTAGCCTACCAACATCTTTAACTTGCTTTTTCTCAAAACTTACTTTCCTGACTTGGGCAGCTTTAAACAGACACAGCTCAGTCAATTTTTGTCCGAATCAAACCAATCATACACCATTTTGAAGGTATTGAATTGGAGAATGTGAAAACAACAACTCAATTTTCAAAACTATGCCAGCACAAGCACAAGTCACATTTATGTTTGGTAAGATAGTTCAACAGATGAAAACATAACTAAAATAAAGGTCTCTGCACATCAACGAGTGTGTCACCGATGACAATATGTTAAAAAGAACAGATGGCTCACACCTTACCGATTTCTTGCCACTGATATTTCAGCCACAAGAATTCACCATTGCCTTCATGGTAATATGATGATGTTTGTTCAAGCATTCACCTGTAAAGTGATTGGTTTATACAAACTTAAACAAACAAATTGAGCAACCAGACCTACTTGTAGTAATTTGTACTGCTTTTTCTGCCAAAATATAAATTTTATTAAATGAAACCAGTCCCATCGCTTATCTTAATAACATATCATAGACTCGTGTTTTCAGAGATCCATTATTTTTATTATACGCCCACATTTTCATGTGGACGTATATTGTCTTCGCCCCTGTCCGTCCACAATTTTTTGTGAACAGTCTACAGGTCACAATTTTTATTCGATTTCAATGAAACTTGAAATATAGGTTTATCACCCTGCATTGGCATGTATGATATCGGACTGTATCTTCATGGATTATGGCCCCTGATTGTACGAAAAATCACGTTTTTAGCTTGTGAACACTGTAGAGGTCACAATATTTATCTGATTTAGTTTAAACTTGAAATGTATGTTTATAACCCACATATCTCGGTTCCTTTCGATATTCGCACCTATCGGACCATAACCTCCTGTGGACCCGGTAGAGGTCTCAATTTTTATCTGATTAAAAAACGTTACAATATATCACCGTTAAACCCTAAGGATGGTTGAGTTCGAATTTCGTAAAAATCGGACCGAAACTGAAGGACAAAATGGCCGCCCCTCGTTCGCAAATAGTGTCAAATTATTGTGTATCAGGGTTGTGGACCCTCTGGAGGTCACAATTTTCATCTGATTTTGATGAAACTTGAAATGCATGTTTATAACCCACAGATCTCGGTTACTTTCGATATTTGCGCATATCGGACCATAACGTCCTGAATTATGGCCCCTGATTGTACGAAAAATCACGTTTTTAGCTTGTGGACCCACAAAGATCTTGGTTCCTTTTGATAATCGCGGATACCCGAACTTAACTTCCTGGATTATGGCCCCAGATTGTTCGAAAAATCACATTTTTAGCTTGCAGATTCTCTAGAGGTCACAATTTTTTTCCGATTTTAAAAACCGTTTAAATACATCACCACTCCACCATAATGAAGGTTGACTACATATTTCATGAAAATCGAAATGAAACTGCCCAACAAAATGGCCGCTCTTTGTACTCAAATTGTGTAAAAGTGAGTAATATGAAGGCTGTGGACCCTCTAGAGGTCACAATTTTTATCCGATTTTGATGAAACTAAAAACATATCTTTATATCCCGAAGATCTCTGTCCCTTTTGATATTTGCACATTTCAGGCCATAACTTTCTGGATTATTGCCACTGATTGAACAAAAAGTCACGTTTGTTTTTAGCTTGTTCTCTATCCAACTCTTGCAAAATGTGGGCGTATCCTGTCTGGCAGTCGCTGGTTGACTGAGGGGGGAAAGTCCTATTACAAATTCTGGTTTTCAACACATGAAGAACCCATAAATTAACTGATTTGTTGTGTCTGATAAAGATAGACCAGTTTATCATTTATTGGATTTCATGATAGAAGAGAAGACAGGTTAATATTGTTACCGGTAGATACATGTATGAGATTTTAGTGTTTGTAAAATGCCAAGATTAAAAAATTATGTGTCCGTCCACAGACTACAATAATGTTATTTTTGTTTAAATTTTTTGTTTCTTTTGTCTGTCAATCATTTGAATAGCGTGTGGATTACCCAATTTATCAATATTGCATTTGTGCACAATTTTAAAATTTGAAATGTGTTTTCATTGATCATATTTTTTTATTTTCAGTAACTTCATTGCAAAATGCATGCCGTGATTTACTTTTACAACTTGTGAAAAAAACAGATATTGAACGTTTACCATTGCCCAAAAAAATTATACAGTTTCTCAGATATGAACTATAGTCAATAGTGGAGAAGTAGTACAGAAAACCTAGCCTGTTGTACAATAGAGACAAAAACAAGTGTTTTGTGCCCGTGTAATTTTAGGAATGTTGTGCTTTAAAGAAATGGAATCACATACATGTTTTCATACATGTACATGTTGCATGTACATCTTTAATCATACCATAATTAAATGATATTTGACTTTTGAAATCACACCAATGTACACACCTATTTAATTAAGTCACTTTTCAGTTACATTTGAGTGGGAACATGTGGTGAATTTGACCAAGTATAAGTTCTAATTAATGTTAGCAAAGTTCATTTTTTATAATTATACATGTAAATGAGTTTTTATTATAATGATTGGAGTGTTAAACAAACTGATAAAAATGTGATTGAGTTATATGATCTATTGAAAGCGACTCCAAAATTTCGTTCAGAATTTAATGATAATTTAATTAAGTATGATTCATGATATAATGTGTTGCAAATGAAGGAATTTTGCCCATATTGTGTGTTTCCAAATATTCAATAATTGACAGTATTTTGTCACACTATGGTAATTATATGAGAATTACATGTACATGTAGTCCCCTTTTACCACTTGTATTTGTTTGCATCTGCAGTAAGTAAATGTTGATATACATGTACATGTACTATTACAGTGTATATCAAAATATAATATCCAAAGCTCCTAATCAGCCAATATCTAGTTTTTCATGGCCTAAGCAGTTCTAAAATGTTCAAAAATTAATTATTTAACATTCATTAAAGATACATTATGGGAAATTAGATAAAGAGCTGGCAGTTCTCAATATAATAGTTAAAAACTAGATACTGTAAAGGGAATTTGTTAAAAATTTCAGTCAAATTGATCCACTATGAACCAAGATTTTAGCAATTGAATTTTCGGTCTAGCCTCGATCATCATTACTAAAGTCGGTAGGATAAAAAACAGTGTCTCGATTATCCATTTCATGATTTAATTATGAATGGAAGTCGAACAGCAAATCGGAAACTAATCCAATAAACATAGCAGCCTAGCGATGCCATGGAGAGTTGATTATGGTCTGGATAAGTTACATGTAGTTAATGTCTAATTAATAATTTAGATAACATTTCAGGCCCAAAGAAAGACCTGCAATAGGCAGATTTAGCTTTTGCATAATGTATGTTTAAGAAACCAAATCAAAATATCAACAGTAGGTAATATCTCAAATTGGACAATCAGAGGCTTTAATTATATATGTATGTGTCCAGTTTTTCGAAAGTAAGAAATTAATTAACTCTTTAATATTTAAATAATAATCTGGGGTGGCTTAATTTTAGAGAAATTGTGAGAAAATATAATAATTATCATCAACTGTGACTTTTTCCTTTAACTTCAAAATCTACAGTCAAAAGAAGAAATCATGTTTTTTTCTGTTATCTGTTAAGTAATTGGGAGGGGGCGTCCTAAATATTGGAAGTCACTGGCTTTAGCCACATCAGCCCCGATCATAATCCATACCACTGGTTAAAAAATAATACTATTTTTGTCAAAAATATTTTCTCCTGTATTAATATTATGTCCCGACTATCTACATGTACTATGCTTATATAGGTATAGTTTCATTAAATTATCTACATGTATGTTGGTTTAGATTTGGTGGGGGTCGAGTGGTCTAATGTATGCACTTTAGGTCACAAGGTCTGTTATTGTGTCAACTGGCGTAGGTGGATTTTCTCTAGTTAACACTCACTGCTAAAGATCTAGCCTACCTGCCAGTGAATTATTGAAATAAAATTGATAGTCCTGAAATGACCTGGCTTGCGTCCCAAGTGGATGTTAAACTGTATGGTTTTGTGTATCTCTCTCCACAAGGATTCACACCTTGAGTTTCAGTTTGATCAACTTGCCCCACTTACATCAACAAGATTACATTGTAACATTTTTTTTTTCTTATCTATCAAGTTGTATTTAAAGCAGTGTACTCGGGAGCCATGGTAGCTAAGTGAGTGAGACGCTAGCTCGCTAGTCTGTAGGTACCAGTTTTGATCCCCGTGTTGGCCAAGAAAGTTCATCAGGATTTTGCGGAGTGGTTTCCCCTTGTCAGTGAAGCATGATGGAGGGCCTGACAAGAACAACTGTTTAGTCATTTGGATGGGATGAAAAACCAAGGTCCTGTGTACACATTGGCATGCACATAAAAGATCCCTTGGAAGTTGGAATTCGATATAAGAGTAAGCTGTAGCTTCCCTGTCCAGCAAAAATTTCCATCATAGTAGGTGCTACACTCACTACACTGTATGGCGGAAGCCCGTCTTCATTAGCCTAGCTGGAGCAAAACAGTAGGACATTCAACCCCATTTCATTTCATGGTACTCAGTACTACTTATCCATCAAACCTGTATTGACTCATACTGATACAAGTCACAACAAACCAAACAGTAGCACAGACAATAAATGTACATAAGAAAATGTAATTTCAAACATAGTTCTAAATTCAGCATTTAATGCTTTTAGCGATCACTCCACGGACCAGAATTTTCCTCTCATAGATTTGGCATGTGGTATCAAGTATTCCTGAAAGTAACTAGTATAATTAGCTTACCATGCGGTCCCCAGTAAAAATTCCCCAAATATTAAAGATAGTCACCTAAAAACTAGTGCAGCAGCTAACTGCATAACAACATGGAAATCGTTCAAATGTGGATTTAAGTATCAAAATTGACTCAAATACTCTTTTCGGAAATTCCCTCTTGTCAGTGATGCAGGACGGAGGACAGGCAAGGACAACTGTCTAGTCGTTCAGATGGGACGAAAAACAGGTCTTCTGTACACAGTGGCATACATGTAAAAGATCCCTTGACAGTTTAGAATTTGATATAAGAGTAGACTGTAGTGCCGCTGTCTGGGCAAAATTTTCCTCATAGCAAACTGTATGCCCGTCTTCATTAGCCCAGTTCGGAGCAGAACAGTACGGCCTACTCTTATATCGAATTACAACTGTCAAGGGATCTTTTACGTGCATGTCAATGTGTACACAGGACCTCGGTTTTTCGTCCCATCCAAACGACTAGACAGCTATCCTTGTTAGGCCCTCCATCCTGCATCACTTGCAAGGGGGAACCACGCCGGAAAGTCTGGATATAATACCAAGGATGGTGAGAAACCACTGATTACTCGCGCTGCACTTACTTGATCCGCCACGAGTGCACGCCAATATGTACACGGGACCTCGGTTTTTCATCCCATCCACATGACCAGACAGCTGTCCTTGTCAGGCCCTCCATCCTGACAGCCACCACCGATTGGTCCGGGAAAATTACAACATTCAGCAAATCAGTCAGAAATTTCTCAACGTTTGTGGGGTAATGGCCATTGAATAGTTGTTTTCATTAGATTGTTTATCGTCGCCTTAGAAAATCTGCGGCATATGAAATGGGGTTTAACGTCTTACTCTTATATCGAATTCTAACTACTAAGGGATCTTTTACGTGCACGTCGATGTACATGTATACTTCGGACCTCGTTTTTCCGTCTCATCCGAACAAATAGACAGCTGTCCTTTTTTTTAATTCACACCAACAAATATTACAGTAGAAATTCATCATACATAATAAATACATACATTGTTTTTTAAAAAAATTATTAAATGGTTAAAATATTTTTTTTTGGTAAAGATTTCTTAAAATATATGAGGATGTTAAAGTATGTGAGGGTGTTTTTTTCTTTACCCACTTAGCCACCGTGGCTCCTGAGGCATATGTACAGTGCTTGTTGAATTAGATATTCCAAATTTATCGGATAGTGTAGTGCATGGGAGAAATGGATCTGGGGTAGCAATTTATATGCCACAGAAACACCATTGCTTGTTTTGGAATTGTAACTGGTGTGCGACCATAGCCTTGCTCTCCTAACTGTAATTCTGGTAATCCATGGAGCTCGTTAATAAAGTTACCAAATACGTTACGCATTCGTTAAACGAAAGTGTGGTTTAAAGTCTTCTAAGGATTGTAAAGGGAATGTAGCCTATGTTTTGCATAATATTTTATCCTTGGAGTTGCATTTCGCATCTCCGGATTTAATAGTTCTAATAAGATTTCAATGAAAAAGTCAGTATCAATTAAAGTTTGTTTGGGGATTATGTCTGCTCGTCGTTATTTATCAGAACACGGAGCATGATTGATTGGCTTCGTTTAGGTATCTTCCATTTTGATACCTAAACAAAGCGCCGCGCCGTTCAATTATCCGTTCCTACTGCAGCGTACTCGAGGATCTTGGCCAAGTAAAGGTCCGTTCATACTACATCTGTATCTGTAAATATGTGCGTTAATACGTACTGGTATACTTTAGTCATTTTTAGAGAAAGGGTTCAAATAGAATCCGGCACGTGTTGCGCACAAAAACAACTGCGTCCGTTAAGCTGGATTGAGTTTCTATTTGGGGAGATGATGTAATAAGGGGAATGTACTCGCTGATTGGCTAAAGCTCGGCTCACTAGCCGAAATGCCGGACGCACTTTACAAAAATACACCATGGGAGCAATCAATCCGGCTTAACGGACGCAGTTGTTTTTGTGCGCAATACGTGCCGGATTCTATTTGAACCCTTTCTCTAAAAGTAACTAAAGTATACCATGCAGTAGCCTACGTATTCACGCACGTATTTACAGATACGGATACGGATGTAGTATGAACGGACCTTAAGCCCGGAGCAAGTAAGCGAACGCGATATCATAGATCAGTGTGAGAAACGGGTAGGAATAAAATAATTGGGACCAAAGTTCACTACTCTAGATTCCTTCAACCAGTGGCAATATAGTCTCTATCATCCAGAAAAATATTCTACGAATATTAGTCTGGACAGGTTGTCAACATTTGAGAAAAATTGGCTAGATAATCCGGTCTTTCACATTATCATAAGGACCAAGACTAGTAATTATTTCAGTTTGCTGCTGTATTATAGTGTTTGGAGAATGCTGTATTATTGGTCTGAAAATGCATAGATTTTCATAATCTTTGGCCAGGGCATTGCATATATGTTTGTTTATTAGAATACAACAGATTTGTTCGAACAGCAAGAACATGTGAGGTATATAGGACTAAGTGCGAGTTATAAATAGACAACTTTTCCCTTAATTTTTTTCTCCCCTCTTCCTGCATTTTTTGGTTGACTTTTTGGTCTAGAATTGGAGAAAAGGGATCAAATTTGCAATTTCATCGCAGTTTTGGGTAATACTGATGATATTAGAGCGGAGGGATAGGGGGTGTAAAGTGTCTTTCTCCAGAGCAATCATTGTCATTGTGTCGGAAGTAAGATTTTCACCCCAGTCAACTTCAAATCCCCGTAGCAAAAAATCTAAACGGTCAACCCCCTACAAAATTATGATGAGGAGATTGCCAAATGTGGTCCCCATTGTGCCTATAAAGATTAGAACCAACAGAATGTTGAGCAAAGAGCTACAGGCTGTGATTTAACATTGAAGTCAATGGGCAAACAATTGCTAGTCTGAGTCCATAAACAATGTATATGGGAGGTAACTCCTATTAAAACAAGATGTTTACGCCCATGAAATTAATTTAAGAATGTCATTTCAAAAAATCCATTTGATTGCATGCGAGTTCAATATCTAACACTCTTAATTTTTTATTGTAAAATTTCTCTCTTCACGGGCCATATCTATGCTTTTAAAATTAATCCTAATTCGTCGTCACGATTCATGTTTGTTTATATTAATGCAAGAATTATGGGATTTATTGTGGGGCGCAACTCTTACTTGACTTGGCTAAAGAGACTGGATAATCAACCACATTAAAAACCAAACTCCCGGTTACGCATGGGCATTGAACTTTACGTCAAATATTGACAACCTTCCCAGACCCTCCGTATCAATCTGTTTCACAGGGAATTACGAGTCTAGTAATATATCTCTGTCAAAGATGACTGCCTTAACACGTGCCGTCACAGCACGCGGCGTCAATCATTGGCTGAATGGCGCGTGCATTGTTTACATCAGACGTTACTGCTTCGGAGAGAATGCTGCATTTTAGTCATTTTAATACCCAACGCCTTTATTTATTTGTCGCAGGAAAAAAATTAATATTACTGGCTCATTAGTCCGCATCGATGCCATCCTTATCAGTGATTGTAGCGGCCTAGCAAATATTCACTGCGGATCAGTGTGCCTCCGTATGTTGAAGACTAGGAGGTTCTGGGTGACCGAGACTAGTGGCAATACTCACTAATTTTCGCTAATAAGTAGACAATCGAGTCTTTACGATGACGTTTTAAAATTATCCTATTTGCACCCCAGAGTTATACTAATAATTCTGAAGTTGGCACAAAATTAAATATTGGGGAAAACGCCTAATCCCTTCGTCCTTTGCAAAGAATAGTGTATTGATTAAATTTTGAGTTAAACAAAAATGCTTAAAACATAAATGCCATGATTGAACAAGGGATTTTGGAAATCCTTTAACGGGAAAAAAAAGAGTTATCCCCCTTTCTATTAACATTATTTCGTGCGCGCGGTGAATGCTGATGTTGTATGACACACACGACCCTGTGTGAGCACACAAGCCCAAGATTTATATTGTTAATGGGGTCCCAGGGGTCTGTGAGGGTTGATTAGATTGGGTGTTTAGCCAGCCATTATATGGCTGGGTGGAAGTCGGTGGAACACGCTCAGTGGCGGCGCCAGCCGTCGGTAGTTGGAGGGGCAAAGCTGGAGCAAAGTCCAAGGTTAAGGGCAGTGGCGGCGCCAGCCGTCGGTGTTTGGAGGGGCAAAGCTGGGGCAAAGTCCAAGGTTAAGGCGGCAAAGGCACGAGCTTCAACTAGGGGAAGGGGGGGGTCTCCTTCAGACAATTTTGAAAAACAGGCTGCCGGAAATGCAGCCTGGCAGTATTTCATGCACTGATCGTTGAGGTAGGCCTAAGGTGTCAAACTAACGGACTTGCGAACCGCGACAAAGCCCAATCACGAGCGCCAAATGGGAGACCTTCCACAGAAAATTTTGAAAAATAGACTACGGCAAATGCTGTCTGACAGTATTCAGTCAGGCACCGATCGTCGTGATAAATAGATCTGACCAGATACCGTCCGTCGCCTGATCACTAGTTTATCCGACCAGAGAACAAAATGTCAAACGAACGGACTTGCAAACTTCAACGAAGTCTCCTTGTGAGAGCCAATTATAGCGAGTCCGGGGACCTCCCCAAGAAAATTTAAAAAATAGACTGTCGGAAATGCTGTCTGACAGTATTCAGGCACCGATTGTAGAGATAAATAGAGCTGATTAGATGCAGTCTGTCGCCTGATCACTAGTCTATCTGACCCCAGAGAGGAAAGTGTCAAATGAACGGACTTGCGAACCTCAACGAAGCCCCCGAAAATTTTGAAAAGTTGACTATCGGAAATGTAGTCTAGCAGTATTTCAGGCATTGATCGTCCAGATAAATACAGCTTATACAAAATACTGCCTGTCGCCAAATCACTAGTTTATCCGACCAGACAGGAAAGTGTCAAACGGACGGAGTGAGTGACTCAAAGTGAATGAATATTTTCGCCACGATATTTTGTGACATAGACTGCCGGAAATGCAGCATTTCAGACGCTGGTCGTCGAGATAATAGAGCTGACGAGATACTGTTCGTCGCCAAATTACAAGCTTATCTGAATAAAGAGGATGGTGTAAACGGAGTGAGTGTATCAACTATCAAGTGAATGCATATTCTCTCAGCGTTGACCTATACCCAAAAACTTTGAAGATCGTAAAAAGCACTTCTCAAGTGGTTCGCGTGTTATTGTTTATATAGAGAATCTCCTACCAGTCTTTTTTGATATCAAAAAAAATCAACACAAGTTGATAAAGTAACAAAAAACGAGGCTCTACCGAGTTTTTTTTTACTTTATCGACGAGTGTTGATATTTTTTTATATCAAAAAGACGAGTAGATGTATGGGGGAGGGGGGGGGCAGCAAATGCCCCCCCCCCCTTGGCGCCGCCATTGAGTAGACATTAAACCCCAGTTTATAGCATTTACTTGACAACATGACGATTTTCATCAGGCCCTAAATCGAGTTATTGTAAGCCCTTTTCTTGGAACTCTCTGATTTGTGTTCATAAGCTTTCCAAAAATGTAGTTTGTTTAACTGCGAGGACCATGTAAGATCTATCTTAAGTTTCATCTGAATCGGACCAAAAACGTGTGGTCCCTGGAGGGTCGACAACCTTTACAATTAGGCTATACGTAAAAGGTATGGGCCAAAACAAAATCGAACATATTCGAGGTATGTTGGACCAAAAAATAATATTGTAAGCTTCATCAAAATCTGATAGGCCTATTGTGGCATCTGAATTGTCTACAAACAAATGTGAACGGACGCCCAGAAAGACTGACATAAGCGATAACACACTACGTCCATAGGAACATGTGGGCGCATAAAAATTATCTGAATCGACCCAGTGGCAATATTATGTGAAAGAAAAGCCGAAAATGGTAGTCATCTTGAAAAAATTTGAAATATGACGGCCATTTTGAAAATTCAAGTGGCTAACTGGATTTTCATAATAAATGACCCGAATGCAAATTTTAGTGCTTGTATCCAGATTTGAAAGATGTTTACACTTCGCTGTCCCACTATAAAGATAACCATAGACAGCAGTTTATCCAAAAGAAATAGTTGGATATCAACCAAATTTAATAAGACCAA